TTCGCGGGTTCGATCCCGACCCTGACGCCTGTTGTATCTTTGGAGTTTGCGTGTTTTTTCCCGTGGTCGTGTGTGTTTTTCTCCAGGTCCTCCGGTTTTTCCATCTGCATTTAGAATGATACGGTTAGAGTGTTTGGCTGCTATACATTTCCACATGGTAAGCCACTTCATTGAGCTATCATTTGTGGCCAGGTTTCTTCTGAAAAAGAGCTGATTTTGTACGTTTGCCCACTGACAAAGAAATGATCAGTCTATAATTTTAATGGTAGGTTTATTTGATCAGTGGGAGACAATAACAACAACAAAATCCAGAAAAACGCATGTCAAAAATGTTATTAATTAATTTGCATTTTAATGAGGGAAATAAGTATTTGACCCCTCTGCAAAACATGACTTAGTACTTGGTGGCAAAACCCTTGTTGGCAATCACAGAGGTCAGACGTTTCTTGTAGTTGGCCACCAGGTTTGCACACGTCTGAGGAGGGATTTTGTCCCACTCCTCTTTGCAGATCTTCTCCAAGTCATTAAGGTTTCGAGGCTGACGTTTGGCAACTCGAACCTTCAGCTCCCTCCACAGATTTTCTATGGGATTAAGGTCTGGAGACTGGCTAGGCCACTCCAGGACCTTAATGTGCTTCTTCTTGAGCCACTCCTTTGTTGCCTTGGGCATGTGTTTTGGGTCATTGTCATGCTGGAATACCCATCCACGACCCATTTTCAATGCCCTGGCTGAGGGAAGGAGGTTCTCATCCAAGATTTGACGGTACATGGCCCCGTCCATTGTCCCTTTGATGCGGTAAAGTTGTCCTGTCCCCTTAGCAGAAAAACACCCCCAAAGCATAATTTTCCACCTCCATGTTTGATGATGGGGATGGTGTTCTTAGGGTCATCATTCCTCCTCCTCCAAACACGGCGAGTTGAGTTGATGTCAAAGAGCTCTATTTTGGTCTCATCTGACCACAACACTTTCACCCAGTTGTCCTCTGAATCATTCAGATGTTCATTGGCAAACTTCAGACGGGCATGTATATGTGCTTTCTTGAGCAGGGGGACCTTGCGGGCGCTGCAGGATTTCAGTCCTTCACGGCGTAGTGTGTTACCAATTGTTTTCTTGGTGACTATGGTCCCAGCTGCCTTGAGATCATTGACAAGATCCTCATGTGTAGTTCTGGGCTGATTCCTCACCGTTCTTATGAACATTGCAACTCCACGAGGTGAGATCTTGCATGGAGCCCCAGGCCGAGGGAGATTGACAGTTCTTTTGAGTTTCTTCCATTTGTGAATAATCGCACCAACTGTTGTCACCTTCTCACCAAGCTGCTTGGCAATGGTCTTGTAGCCCATTCCAGCCTTGTGTAGGTCTACAATCTTGTCCCTGACATCCTTGGAGAGCTCTTTGGTCTTGGCCATGATGGAGAGTTTGGAATCTGATTGATTGCTTCTGTGGACAGGTGTCTTTTATACAGGTAACAAGCTGAGATTAGGAGCACTCCCTTTAAGAGTGTGCTCCTAATCTCAGCTCGTTACCTGTATAAAAGACACCTGGGAGCCAGAAATCTTTCTGATTGAGAGGGGGTCAAATACTTATTTCCCTCATTAAAATTCAAATCAATTTATAACATTTTTGACATGCGTTTTTCTGGATTTTTGTTGTTGTTATTCTGTCTCTCACTGTTCAAATAAACCTACCATTCAAATTATAGATTGATCATTTCTTTGTCAGTGGGCAAACGTACACAATCAGCAGGGGATCAAATACTTTTTTCCCTAACTGTACTTGACTGGTAGGGCCGGCGCGTTGGGGCTGGGCGGCGTGGGTGGTGGGGGTGCGCGCGGAGGAGTGGGCTGGCAGGCGGGCGGGCAGCCCGGGCTCCGTGATGAAATACTGCGGCGGGCGGATAATTGTGCGCTAATGCGCGAGGCTGCACTTATTACCCGGCACCCGTGTCATTAGGGCCCGGGGCGCGGAGAGAGCGGTCGGTGACGCGCGTGCAGAGAGAGAGAGAGAGAGCGATGGAGAGCATGGGCAAGAGAGAGGGAGAGAGTGCGAGCGTGCGAAGGGAGGAAAATGGATTTGGCGCCGGTGCCCCATACATCATAACGACACCGAGTTGTGCTTTTAAATGCAATACGATACACGTTGGACGTAGAGCATCTCAATGTGACCGTGTTGCCGAGACGGGTTGCACACGACTGGAGTGCAGCGCTGTGCAGGGTGGGGTTGGTGGATCGTGCGGAGAGCAGCATCGTGTGTTGTGCTTTCTTGAGTGATGGGCGCGCCTTCGTGTGCTTGCGGTGTTTCCACTGTCTACCTTCGACACACCAAGAACATGAACAAAGGCGTTGTCCAACATTCCTAAGCAGGACCCTGCCAAAAAGGAATTTTGCGATGCTTCGCTGGATTAAGGACAAGGTTACCCGAGATTCTTTACGAGGACGGGAGATGTGGATTTGAGCGCGAGCAGGGGAAATCCGGGACAGGGAAGGGGGAAGGATTTTCATCTTAATGGAGAGTTTTGTTTTTTTTAAAGTTGAGTTGGGCCGGGACACGGAAAGACACGAAAGGATGACGCAGTCCAGGATTAGAATGAAATTAACGTTCGGGGAAAAAAGTTCGATTGCAGGCAGAGGAGAAGAGGAGCGCCCGGAATGGTGGGCGATATTTTACATTGAATCACTTTGGGCAGGGGTAGGGAGTCTGCTGCGTAGCCGGGGGAAATGAGTCCCAGACGCTCGCCCTCCTGCTGCCCTCCATCATCGGCAGCAGAAGAGAAGGAGGCGACCTCCCATCGTGCCGAGGTTGTCTGGGATGCCGACGGGAGGGCGCGGGGGAGGGGGAGCCGCAGCGCGCGATGTTCTATATTTAACGTTAATTTTATGTTTCGTTTTATACCGTGAAGGCGCGTGGCACTGGGCGGTATTTGTGGGTCGTCGGCCGTTTGGCAGCAACAGCAGCAGCCCCCGGGTTCACCTGCGTGTCAAGACAGCCCCGGCACTGCACCAGCCGCGGCCCGGCGTTGCCGATTAATGAAATTACTTTTGATGCGGCTAATTATTTCGCCCGGGCTTTTAATTAGCTCCCGACCAAGCTCATTACGGCCCTGCCAAATTCCATTATTCCGCCGACAGCTTTATTAGTTTGCGCGCGCGCGCGCTCACTCGCCCGCTCGCTCCCCTCCATCATCGCCCGGGCCCTGCCGATACGAGAGAAAGCTCATTATTCTGGCAGGTAAATTGCGCTGTCAAGGGACTAATTGGTAGCGCCGCTCGGCTGGACTGACTGCTGGACCGCGGGATTTTTAACATGATAATCATTCACGCGTTATCTTGTTGGACGAACAAATGCTCCCAGGACTTGGGCTTCCCAACCAAGCGTTACTGACGAACGCTTCTCGCTCTGGCCCCGCTGTGCCCGTGCCACGGCCACCGTGGCACGTTTGGCGAGAGGACGTGGGCGGCAGATTAGGAGGGAGACGCAACGCGAAAAGCGGACAGCTGTTATTTTGTGGTAAATACCCGGCTCGCGCGATTCACAGGCTGTCGAGCGCGAGTGGGAAACTTCCCTCGTGAGATATAGCGCTGAGGGTTACGGATCTTCAGGGGCACCGCTGCCAGCCCCCCTTGGTGATGTCCTCGGGCCGCGCCAGAGCCCACCGGCAAATTTTAGCTGCCAAGTATGTCGATGATAATTACGTAGATTGTGGCTGCGTCGTCTCTCCCTTTCAAGAAGAGGTGCAATTGGTGCAAGGCTTTGGGGGATCCCAGGGCACATTGCAAGCTGTGACCCTCGCGGGGAGCATTGCATGTGCGGGACTGGATGGGGACAATGCAAAGACTGGAATGTTTCCTGCGAGCTCTTGCAGCCAGCATCACCGTCCCCTCCATCCAAAAACTACTCCACAGTACTGGCTTTGGGACAAACGTTTGCCATGGACCCTTAACCTGGGCCTAACGCTTGCGTAGTGGCTCAACAGTCGAGCGAGATTTTGGTCGGAGGTTGACATCGTGCTTCCAGGATCGATAAAATAGGTAACACTTTGTAGGCAATTCAACAGGAGTCCTATGGATAGACTCACCCCTTCCATAGAAATGTGGGATTTCCACCACTGGCGCTGCAGGGATCTAAACAGGAGATGAGCACCACTTCAATGCTCATGTGAGCAGGACATCACCCAAGGACTCTGTAGGTGGGTGCGTGTACTTGTGACTTTAGTGGCATAGTGGTTCCCACACTGCCCCAAAATCTCACCGACGTGGATTCAATCTCTTGCCATAATACGCAACGTGAGGGCGGTGGCACTTTCACCCTGGTCTGGACCTCCTCTAGATCAACTCAGCTTTAAACGAGCACTTAGTGTTGTGTGTTAACTTGAGCACCGGGGAGATGGAGGTGGGCGGGTGGGCATGGTGCTGACCTCACTAAACTATTGGGTGCAGGGTTAACCTTAATAAAAAACTAAACTAGTTTTATTTTACCAGGTAAGGCTCACTGAGCTATATATATATAGCTCTTTTTCAGAAGCGATCTGTCCACAAATGATAGCTCAACAAAGTGTCTTATGTGAAAATGTATCGCACCTCACTATTCACTATTTTCCACTGGCATATCCGAGCTGCGCGGGGGCTATGCCGGGCCAGCCTGCTGTGGGTTAGCAGTGCCGCTGACCTCTTCCACGCAACGTAGGACATCACTACGCACGTAGATGATGTCGGTGACACGCACTCTGACACACGGATACACAACAACACACACACACACTTCATCAACGCTCCGTGGCTCTGACTCAGTAGATGCCATTATATTGATCTTCTTTAGGTGCTATGATGTCAGAGGCATTGAACGCGCGCCATTATCCCCTCCCCTGGACCTGATTGGCCCCGAGCAAAGCGGGTCCGCGGTGCGATTCTGGCTCGGCCCGGATGTGCCAATAGAAAATAAGGTGGTAGATGAGGCTAAACATGAGATCTTTGTTTTGGTGTGCGTGTTCGTGTGCGTGCAGGAGTGCGTGCGGAGAAGGATGGATCTGTACATATACCCCACGGTGCCCTTCATCTGCCATTACGACAGCCCTCACGAATTCCACCTCAGGGAGAAGAGATTGCAGAGGATAGCCAGAGGTGCCTCTTCAGTGTCGGGTTCTTACCCCCGAGCACGTGTGCATTTCACCAAGCGTCGCTACAGCAGGGCTCTTCAACGTGATTTTCCGTCAGGCCACGTAATAAAATTTGCCGATGCCGTGATGGACACCGGGGTGCCGCAGTGGTGAGATGTTAACTACCTCGGCTGGTATACAAGAGGTCAAGGGTTCAATCCTGACCCTGACGCCTGCTGTATATTTGGAGTTTGTATGTTCTCCCCGCGGTAGCGTGGATTTTTCTCTTGGTCCTCCGATTTTTCCCTCCACATTTAGAAACATGCGCTTAGAGCATTTGGCTGCTAGAAATTTCCACGTGATAAGCCACTTCATTGGGTTATCATTTGTGGCCAGGTCGTTCTAAAAAAGATTGATATATCTCAGTGGGCTCTACCTAGCTATCATCGCCACCCCCACCCCCCCCGCACTGGCTGACTAACGTCCACTCGCAGGCCGGTGCCGAGTCACCTTGTGCCGGAAAGGGGCAGCTTCCAATGGGAGGGGAGTGCCCTTTGAAACGTTTTAAATGGGATGTGATGTACGGCTCTCGTGTGTCGCTGAGGCGGCAGAACAACGCCATGTAAATACAAATATTATGAAGATGTTGATGAAGATGATGATGATCATCATCATCATTATTCTTTCCCTGTGCGTAACAGAATTGCGGGAGACGGGCCAGCTGCAAGAGTCTCTGCTGAACCCCCTTAAGCGGCGCCGCCTGGAGCTGGAGGCAGAGCAGGGCCTGAGCCAGAAGCAGCGCACGCGGCTCAAGGCGCGGCTCGACCGCGCCGAGGAGAGCGAGGCGGCGCGGCTCCACCGCAAGCGGCAGCAGCTGCGTACGCGTCGCCACGAGCACTACATGCGCCGGACGGCCGGACTTCCGGCGTGGGACGGCAGCGGCGCCGGAAGCTCGCACCACTCGCACCACCGCCAGCGCGGCCACGACCGCCGCGAGAAGCGGGCCCGCGAAGCGCCGGTGGCGGAGGAGCGCAGCGAGCGGGGATTCCAGCGGAGGGCGGCCGTGGCCGGTGAGGGCTACTTCCCTGCGGAGCCTGTCGAGTGGCAGAACGACAAGGGGAGGAAGAGGAAGGAGGAGATAAAGCAGAGGTTGAAGTTGAAGGGGAAAATGAAGATGAAGAAACTGAGGGAGAAGAAGGCGCGGCGCAAACACGGGCGGTGCGCCGACGAGGAGGAGGGAGGCAGCGCGGACCGCGTGCCGGCGTTCCTGCCGCCGTCAAGAAAGAAGAGCAGGAGGAAGCGCGCGAGGGCGAGCGCCAGCGCCAGCGAGACGTGCGTGGAGTGAGTCTCGCGTGTGCAGAGGTTCTTAAACGGCGATGCGGCATGCGGGACAAACTCGCCACCGTGGCACGGCCAGCTAACATTTCACGCTCCGCCTCATTTAGCAAAAAGGGCCGTTACCAAATCGCGCTGTCCTAACTCAGGTTGAAAGCATTAACGCGTCAGCTCCATCTGTCTGCTTGGGACGCGGAGGGCACGGTAACTCTCAAAGTTGATCCAATCTGGAGAAATCTTCACTGTAAAGTTGTCTTGCTACCCTATAGCAAACCAGCAACATTAATTAAAGGGTTGCCCTACATTTGGGGACGAACCAGTGGTAAAAGGATTTACCCTGGCACCTGCACCTGAATGGCCAAGATGTTCACGCCTCTGTCCCTCCCCACCGATATGATCACACGCGATGTGATTTTGCTATGTCGCACACCATTCGCCCTGTGACATAACTTAATGCGGCTTGAAAGATAACGTTACCGATAATTAGAAATTTCCCAGAAAGCATTACAGAAGCCACACATGTGAATTGTCTTCCTTCTTTTGTTCTTGCCCACAGTTCAATGCGATCGTGCTATCGATGTCACGAGACGTGTGTGCCAGATGATCCATGTAGATCTCTCACAGAGCATTGCAAACCATCGTGTTCGAGCGAAGGCCCACGGAATCGGATATAGAACTACTTCTGAGATCCCTTTAAGTGACCTCCGGTCCACGCAGAAGGGGAGGGGGGGGGGGGGAGTACTTTCACAACGGCTATACCAACGTAAATAATATAGGTCACACATTATATTCTCACAGCTGTAATGCAGCCAAGTTCTGTGTAGAACCAAGTTTAATTTGATGGCTTTTTGTAGTTGTTGGTGACCTGGCTGAGACCATTCATAGGGGCGCCATGGTGGCGAGATGTTAACTACCTCGCCCGGTATACAGGAGGTCATGGGTTCGATCCTGACCCTGACGCCTGCATATTTGGAGTTTGCATGTTCTACCCGTGGCTTCGTTGATTATTCTCTGGCTGCTCCGGTTTTGTCCCGCCACATTTCGAAACGCGCGTTTGCAGTATTTTGGCTGCTATAAATTTCGACATGATGATAAGCCACTTCGGTGAGCTATCATTTGTGGTCAGATTGCTTCTGAAAAAAGAGCTACGTAGCTCAGTGGGCCTTACCTGGTAAAATAGAAAATACTTGTAATAGTTGTATGAACTCACTGCACTTGAGGGGACCCTCACCTGGTTAAAATCACAGGCGGGTGCCTGAAGTCGAACCCAGGATCTCAGCGGTAGCAGCTTTCATCACCCCAGCCTCCTCGCTTGTATCACAAACCCGATTCATCTTCTTCTTTGGTTCTTTCGGTAAAGTCACGTAGAATGAGAATAAAATAATAAATTGATAAAATAAAAAGACAATAAAATTCTCACGACGTTTCGGCCACAACACAAGCAGCCTTCATCAGTTGAAAGAACAGAACTGTTGGGACGACAGTGCTCCAATGAGCATTGTTGTGATTCGTTGCGTCTTTTTAAGCTCGGTGAGAGGCGTGAAACCTCTTGACAAAGGAGTTTATGTATCAAAGCAGGAGAATTTAGCGATGATATAGCTGAGGGATTAGCTTGTGACAGAAATAGCTATGTTAAAGTCAGAGTTTACCTATTAGTATATGGACGCTAAAGGCCTCCAACTACCCAACTTTCATACAGTAAACCGATGTGAAAAGAACTAAGTGTATATTACATGATATAATAAATGTACTTAATATATTCTTCAATAAGCAGGGCTATTAATCACAAAGCAGCTTATTGAAGAATATATTAATATATTAAGTATATATATTAATATATTAATTAGTTTTGATTTAAAGCTTTCGTGACTGCAGTAATTCATATTCTTAGCTCTTTCGGTAAAGTCTCGTTGAAGGGAAACAATAAAATAATAAAATATATATAAAACAATAAAAATTCTCACGACGTTTCGACCATTATTTTATTGTTTCCCTTCAACGTGACTTTACCGAAAGAGCTAAGAATATATATTAATTAGTGTTTGTTTCCACCAGCCCTCCCCTCCCTCCTCCGCCCCGGGTGGGGGCTGGTAACATGCTAATCCAACTCCGCCCACACAGCCTTAATAAGACTCACTCCTGGCGTGGCGGGGTCCACTCGGGCTCTGTCTCCTGGATAGACTCTGTTTCTTCACCTGAGGAAGGCCGCTTGTGTTGTGGCCGAAACGTCGTGAGAATTTTATTGTCTTATTTTATTATTTTATCTCCTATTCTACGTGACTTTACCGAAAGAACCAAAGAAGATGAATCCTTGCAGTCACGAAAGCTTTAAATCGAAACAAACCCGAATCTTCCTTTGATAAGTCTCCGTATTCTATAGCGGTGCCCACGCTGGAGGTGTGGTGAGGTTTTTGTTGTTTGCGGTTTGTGCTTGTGCACTGCTGCTTACACAGTCCCGTATTTGTTTTTATTATTTAATGGGAAACGTGTGAGATGCGTGAGAATTAAAATAATTCAACACAAAGTGAGTTTACAGTAAAAAAAAGAAGGCTGATTGAATACAGAAGTCTCAGGAAGGCACGTAAAAGATTTTTAAACGAAAACGTTAAAAACATGTAAATTGGAAAATTCCTGATGGATACGTGTACTTTGTTTTAAAATATCTTTTGTTGGAAAATGTGTAATGTCCAGTTTTGAGGCAAATTTCTGTAAACAGTTTTTTTCTATTGTAATGTTTTGACAATGAAGTAAAAAAATAAAAAATAGTTACATTCGCAGAGTGCATTGTGTTTATGTGCAGTAGGTTTTCTTTGAATGCATTTATTATTACAAATCAGTTGCATTTGCGTTCACAATATTCCGCTGAGTATGACGTCTGTTCACTCGGTGAATTTTCACTTGGAGCAACGCGTGTCAAGACAACGTTAAGAATGTGTACATCACTGATATTATTACTACAATGTCTATATTTTCCTATCGGGCTATAAATTAATATGGAAATGCACGCATCTGCAACTTATACCGAGTGGATTGAATTATGACGCCGTGTTTATCTGCAAAGTGGTGTTTGCAAAACAAAAGATCACGAATCACGAGCCATGTAAGCTTTTACGACTGGCTATCGCATCACCGGTAACATGCCATTTGTAAATATCAGAGTGGTGAAATGTGCGAGAATTCCCCCAGCAGAAAATGACATTGTGTTCGGAAACGCCCTGGAAGTTGACACCACAGAACTACTTAAGGGGTCACTGTAAATGACTTGGCTCGGACAACACCGCGTGCGCCTATTCTGCTCTGTGGAAGTGCCGCACCGAGCGATTGAGGGCCGCCAGGAGGTGTCCAGCACCACTGCTGCCCCCAGTGCTGGGCTCGCTGTCCCAGGGCGCAGGGAGTTTTTGATCGGAGTTTGCCATCTCCTAGATCAGGGGGTTGGCAACCTGCGGCTCTTGAGCCGCCATGCGGCTTTTTAAGGACTGCAGTGCGGCTCTTGACGTTGGAAAAGAATGGCTCTTATTTTGGTTGCCAATCCCTGACCACGGAAGAGTCCAGTTCACGATGGGCAGGGTTCGGCAACCTGCGACGAGAGCTGCATGCGCTCATTAAGGACCACCGTCTCGTATTCGCATTGCGATTGAAATATTGTTTTTTGGTTTTCCGAATTCGAAAAAATGGCTCTTCTTATTGTGTTGGTTGCCGACCCCTCTTCTAGATCGACTCCCTTTCCAGGTCCCCACCATGACCCAGTCGCATTGACTCTGGTTCGTGGATGCCACGGCGTGTTGGGCCGATGCACCGCACCTCAAGGGCCCAGATTTACTCTGATATCCCTTTTAGCGTCCAGACAGGTATAGGCTGCATCAAATTTAAAACCATCATGTGAAATATGTTCAATGCGTAGTTTTGTATGTATTCTGTTTATAACCAACTCGTGGACACCTGAGAAATCTAGTTCAATCAGATGTGGGTGGTGCCTTGATTCGAACCCAGTTTGTCAGTGATTCCAAGGTACTATGCGAGTCATTGAGCTCACCGAGGGCACCCATGCTGAACAGAGGCAGAACACCACGCAAACTCCATGCAACATGCGCCCGAGTCGGGAATCGAGCCCTGAACCTTTATTGATGTGAGACGCGAGTGTTGCTACTGCGCCATCCTACGTCCACTGCATACACAATGAATACGGCGTGCCCCGCATTTCACTTTTATGGACCCGCATGGCATGGAAGGGGCCCTCAATTAGCAGTGGATTGACACAAAAGGGCCGCTCATGTGCACGTGCGTAGTCCATCGCGCCGTAAATCACGCAAGATTTGCACGGGTTGCCGATATTGACCGCCGATGTAATATGAGCCTCTTGACGTGAGCGCTTGAGTCCACATCTGTCGCGTCAAGCCCGTGATTCCACCCCGCCCCCACTCAAGCCGACACGTCGGCGGCCGTGTCGGCGAAGCCTTTTCACCGCGAGCATATTTTGTGTCGACAGAGAAAGGAAGTTGTGTCCGCCACGCTTGCGTCGACAATAAAACAGTTGCGCGCGTGCAAAGCCCCCCCGATGACACCACGGTCGTCTTGTACGTTGCTGCTCGGCATGTGTGGCCAGTTTTGAGGTTTTCTCCTTGGGGAGGAAAAAGGGTCTTGAGCGTGTCTGCCAAGACATCGTTGGGCCAATGTTTTCTACCTGAAGAGCCGTTTCCGGTGGTTTTGCGCGACATCGTTACTTGTGACGCTGTTTGCAATTATAACACAGCGTGCCTGGGAGAACACCCATGCCCGTGGGGTATACCACTCAAAGCTCCATTTTGTCAGGTGGCTTTCTCTCGACCTGCTTGCTGGACTGCCACACATACAGGCACTATTTTAGTGTCCCATCAGGCAGGTAGGTGCATTGTGAACATGATAGTTCAATCTGTGTGTGTGTAACCCACCTACATCGTGTTCGGATTGCAAGCGTGCATAGTTTACACCATACCCAATAGAGGCTTTTAAAAAAATTCATATTTTGTCAAACGCCAGTTTAATATGCATATCTTAGTGTGATCCACCAACCCCTACCTCCCGTTGGCTCTGGATCACAAGCTTGCTCTGACAACAGAAACCACATTTCCTCGTGTTTATTAATTAAACTTAATCACGTCTGTTTGACTCGAACGCTCCTCGTGGAGGGGAATGCGTGCGGAGGGTCCCGAGTTATGAAGATGGATTCAATTAAGACTCATTGTGATTTAATAACCCCTTGAACAAAGGCAACACCTGCTTACCTTCTAATTAAGAGGCATGCCGGTCATTTACAATTGATAAGGACACATGCAGGGTTATAAGTAGCAGTTAGCATCTACCAAGTGAGCACTCAGCCCGTTCTAATTCACGGGTCACGTGCTTAATTTTTAAAGCGCGTATATTCTGAACTCTGATTTCTCAGCAATTTAACATTTTATTGTCTTTTTTCCTTCATATTACGGACGGTCAAGGCTATAGTTTTGTCACGGTATATATTATTTGCAAATGTAAAATTCGCGGCTGAGTTGTGGCGGGGGTGTGGGAGGGGAGCAGGCTTGAAATCCCTGCTTAGCTTTCCGATGTGCTGCGACATCATAATGTACGTTGACTCATTAACCCCCCCCCCCCCCCCCCACTTGGCGTAAGAGCGCAGGAGTGTGATCACCACATCTACGCCTCTATATAAGAAACGAAACAGGTGGACTTCTCCACAAATCTGGCTGTCGCCTGATGAAGCTAGTTGTAATTACTGGCGAAACGTCGTACTCAGATTGTAAATGTTGTGGCTTGGCTCTCCAACACACCGGTGTGCTGTACTAGTGACGAATTGGCCACGTTCTGTTTACGTGACAACCCTTACGAGTTTGCTGTCGGGTGCTAACGACATTTATATATTTACTTGATCTAACCCAAAAAGCCTCTATTATGGACATCAGTCGCATGCATTTTTGGAGCGTGAACGTCTCTCTCCCCAGTGGTCGCGTGGATTTTCTCCGTGTCCTCCGGTTAGTCCCTCCACGCGTGTAGCATAAAACGCGTTCACAGTATTTGGCGCCTCTAAATGTCCCACATGATGATAAGCCTCTTCGTTGAGCTTTCAATTGTGAGCCAGGTCGCTTCTGAAAGTGCTATACAGCTCGGTGGACCATACCTTGTAAAATAGAAGGTTTAGTTTAGTCTTATGCGTGCTGAGTTGTTACCATTTGCTGTAGTCATCTTCTCCAAAAACAAACAATAACGTAATTTATTTCCCTCCCATGTAAATGAATGTTTGTATCACATTAACAGGTGCGTGGACGTGGCTGGGGGAAAAATGAGCATGACTCTCGAAAGCTTGCGGGGGCAAAGCTACCTTTGGCGCCTGCCCCACCACCAAATCTCCTCGTAGGGAAGAGCGTTGTGGGTGTGCGCCCGTGTGCTCGAAGCCTCGACACAGCCTCCCAGGGCGAGACTCCCCCTCCGCCAGATTCATTCGGCCCTAACGTGGCCGTGTTCACAGGGGCCACCTTCCTCGTGCCCTCTCCGCTTCGTGTCAACACCCCCCCACCACCCACCTCCGTGCGTCGATGGCAAACTTTGTTTAGAAGTTTTCCCACCCGTAACAGTGCGGGAGTCGCGTTCATCATGTTCATCGTTAGAATCAGGGGCCGTCCATAAATGACGTCACGCGATTTTGGACGATTTTTACCCCCGCTCGTCACACGGCGTCACAAAAAGTCAGACCCCCCCCCCTCAAATATGACGTCACAAAGCTCTGCCTCCCCCCCCCCCCAAATAAAACATGCTTCAAATCGCTTTAAACTATGGTCATTGTAGTGTGTATTTAATGTGGCGCTGCACTCTGAGGTTGTAGGAGAAAACATTTATTAAAACGTCTATTTAATTAAGTAGAACGTGTTGTCAATATTTATTTAAAGTTGCGCATTTTGATGTGACGTCACATTTCTCAACCCCCCACCCCCTCGTCACACATCGTCACAAATGTCTGACCCCCCCCCCCCCCCCCCCTATTTGCGTGACGTCATTTATGGACGGCCCCTTATCGGCTCCCACTGTTGGGTGGTCGCGCGCACGAATCCGGCCCAGCCGCGGCACGCGCGCCATTGACGAGTCAAAATGCGAACCGGGTCGTGTGGCCCACCCTTGAACAGACATCACTATGAGAAGAACACGTAGATTAGTGGTACATTAATTGGGGGGGGGGTCACAGGACATCTGGACGACCCTGTACAATGCGGCACTACGATGATCTCACGTATTCGCCTCGCCTGCACAACCCACACTGACCAGCGTGGTGAAGTATGGTCAAGTAAACCCTCACAGCCCACACGGTTGTGGTGAGGCCATCGTCCAGCAGTGGACTGGCAAAAACGACTGCTGTATGGACGTGGACAGCGGCTGCCATACGGGTATCCTGGCTCCCGCCATAGGAATGCGGACAGTTCCACCGAATGCCTCGGGGTGGGGGCAAGACTTCCCGCAGCCGCGGATTAACTTTAAAGAGCTGTACATTGCTAATGATTGTTACAGAAAGAAGCCAAACGCACCCTCTGCACGTGCGCGATTTAAAGCGCTTCTCGAGGCAACGTCGCCACCTGGCGGCGCGGTCGTGACAACGCGGGGGGGGGGGGGTAAACCAGCAGGTCGAGTGGGGGGGGGGTACACCAGCAGGTCGAGTCCACTAGGGAGGGGGGTAAACCAGCAGGTCGAGTCCACTAGGGGGGGGTAAACCAGCAGGTCGAGTCCACTAGGGGGGGGGGGGGGTGAAACAGCAGGTCGAGTCCACTAGGGGGGGGGGTACACCAGCAGGTCGAGTCCACTGGGGGGGGGGGGGTAAACCAGCAGGTCGAGTCCACTAGGGGGGGGGGGGGAGACGTCAAGGACTGATCGTGGCGCTCACCTCCGGCAGATGACCACGAGGCATTCGGTGTAACTGTCCACATTCCTATGGCGGGAGCCAGGATATGCGCATGGCAACCGCTGTTGACAGTTTGACGAAGCGGGCACTCTTCTCGATCGTGTGTCCATACAGCAGTCGTTTTGCCAGTCCACTGCTGGACGATGGACCCCACCGCGCCGTGTTGGCTGTGAGGGTTACTTGACCATACTTCACCACGCTGGTCAGTGTTGGTTGTGCAGGCGAGGTGCAGACATTAGGGTCGTCCAGATGTCTTGTGACCCCCCCCCCCCCCCCCCCCCCCAATGAATTGACCCCTAATTTTATTTGAAGCTTTCGTGACTGCAGGGATTACTCTTTGGTGCTTTCGGTAAAGTCTCGTAAAAAGAAAACAAATTAAATAATAGAATACGACGTTTCGATTGCAACGCAAGCAACCGTCAACAGGTAGCACTAAAATTGAGAGAGACAAAATACAGACACGGAGAGACACAAGCAGAGAGAGACACCCCTCTCTCTCTCTCTAAGGCCTCGACACAGAGGAATTGGGTCTCTGTGTTGTCTCTCTCTGCTTGTGTCTGTCTGTGTCTCCGTGTCTGTGTTTTGTCTCTCTCTCATTTTTAGTTCTACCTGATGACGGTTGCTTGTGTTGCAATCGAAACGTCGTATTCTATTATTTAATTTAGTTTCTTTCTACGCCACTTTACCGACGGAACCAAAGCGTTACCCCTAATTGTTTTTGTATATTTGTTTTCACACCCATTGGTATACAATCAATATTTATAATCAGAATATGCATTTAGACCGTAGGAACCTGATGAGCTATAAAGCTCTTTTTAACAGCTGTCCCAGTTTTATAGCGTTAATTGGTGAGGGGGTCATAAGACATCTGGACCACCTTGTATAATAATGGAAGTTGCTTCTATGCCCCCTGTTGACTATCGCGTGGCACTGCTATGTGAAGCTGGCACGCGGTGTAACAGCCAATCGGTGGTGGTCTGCCTCGTGGCGGCCGACTGGTGATGATGAGACTTAGTCTCCATCATCGGAAAAATGTACTTTATACCACCGACTGGTGAACCACAAACAGGTATAAGCTACATTTAGCATTCACTGGCTTGTTTACCTTAAGAGGAACCAATCTTTCATGTAGGTACAGCCTTATAGAATTCTCAGCGGACGAGACAGCCATCAGAAAACATCCAACTCGCGTGAAATGAATGCACCCGTTCAGAGTGCTCGTTAATGGGATTGGCAACTGGGCACAATGGCACATGCTGAAGGAACTGCAGAGGCTTGGATGGTGACTCACAGAAGACACATCACCGTGTGCCCAAGGCTCCCAAACCAACTGGGCTGTAAGCTGTCTAGTCGATGGCAGTCAAGCAAATAGGCCTATGAGCTATGGAGTGCAGTGTTTTTCCCTTGTGTGTGGGGTTTCTCGGGTCACACCAGTTTCTTCTCAGATTCAATAACAATCACAAACCTGTAGACATTTCAAGCAGGACTCGACAAAGTCTGCACTCAGTTATGGCATACCTGGGTAAACAGGTGTTATTACTGAGCAAATATTATATGCATTAAGCCAGTTTTTCTTCATAGCACATGTACAAGTTGACACTCATTTTATGTTGTGTATACACAACATACATGTTATTAATCGAGGCACTTTTTGTTCAAATTCTGCCAAATTACTGCCACTGTATTTCCAAGTGTTCTAACTAGTTTCTGAACAAAGTGCATTTTTTTTATTTTTTTTATTTTTAATAATGTAAAGCCAATATTCTGGAGTCAATGCATGCTGGTTAAAACACACAAAAAAATATCTAAAAGTTTGAACCTGTGCAATATCTATATATTTGGTTCATTACCTTATTTAGCCTTTCATATTGCAATGACATCTCAGGACATCTTTTAAAATGACTGCTTCGTGCAGTAAGCACCCACGAGCAACGTGCTCTGCAGGCTGTGGCTCCACAAGCACACACAGTCGTTACACCAACACTCTTTCAATCAGAGCACATTATAGCTTGGTAAAATGTGCCACAAATCACTGTGTCAATTAAAAAAAAACACACCGAATGCAGGTGGTGACTCAGAAGGCAATGACCGTATTGCAAAACTGAGCCTCTAACACTCGGAAACCTGGGTTCGAGTCCTCAGCTACAAAGATTAAACCAGATTATGAAGTACAGCAAGTTCGATATTCTCAACCCAGTGACCAAGTGGGCTATGCAAAATGACATTATACAAGTTACATTTCTACGATTTGGCTAGTGATACATTTGCACGCGGACATTTTACAACAGATGTGAAGTGAACCGCTGGTGGGCGATAGAGCTGCTAAACACCAGTTGCTCTGCAGCACCAACTTACCAGCACCATCCCCCTATGATACGGAAGACTGTCCTCATTTCTTCAGTCTTGATGTCAATAACAGAACTGGGATAGAACAGGTGAAAATAGCAGCCATGTAGCACGACAACCGCGAGGCTACCACACCATTGCAGGTTACACGTTTAAATCCCGTTCCAAATGTTGGCCGAGCCCATCACCCCTCTGGGGTTGTTAAAACGAGTACCACTTTGTGGCAAGTGAACAATAGTTGTCCTATAACGCGAACAACCATACACGAATGTGGTGTTTCCCCCACTGGTCCAGGGCTGCCAACAGATATTGGCATTGCCCAGTGCATAAGGGAGACACTTTGACTAAAAGAGTCACGCATGAAGAAACACGTGACAGGCATCACCAGCTTGTGTTACACCCTCCAGAACAGGATTCCACAAAATCCAGTCTTCGCGGCCTACCAGTGCACCTTTCCACGTCTACCAATCTTGTCCATTAAAACAGTCGTTACATGTCGCACACCTGATGATTGGTAAACATAACTCGCAAAACATAAACGGCACCGATTCAAATTAAGACAGACGCACGTACACAAAACGCATCTGCTCGTCTGTATAACTGTATCAGAGCTGAACTATATATATAAAAAAAAAAAGATTTATAAAATTATGAATTCTTAGTGCAGTCTCTGGTGTTGGCACCGAGATGATTAAAACTCGCGACACTCAACGGCTCGGTCACATCACGGGGTGGGCCGACAAACAGATGCGAACCCGGGCCAGCCACCCGCCGGCGTCGGCTCTGGCGCTCGCGACACGGCGAGTCTCCGGAGTCATCCGAGCTCAGATCTGCAGGTTGATGTACGGCAGGAGGTACCCGGCGGCGAGCAGGTCTCCCAGCAGGATGACAGCGTGCTGCGGGGGCGACTCGATGTCGATGGCGACGCCGCGGCCGCGCAGGCGCGCCAGGCCGGGCTCAGTCACATTCTGACAGCCGCTCACGGACAGGGAACGCAGCGCTGGGCAGTACTCCGCCACCGTCCTGCGCGCACAGTGATACGCCCGTGCGGTCTATAGCTATGGCTTACTGCTGATATATAAAAGTATAAACTTTTTAATTGCCAGATAAAAGCCCATTGAGCTATATAGATCTTTTTCAGAAGTGACCTGGCCACGAATGATAGCTCAACGGAGTGGCTCATCATGTGGAGATTTATAGCAGACAAATACTCTTTGTATTTAGACGTGTGTATGCTGCGCTCAAACACACAAATGCATACATACTAAGAACAAGGGCCATTGCATTCAGGCAATTTTCAATAGCAACTCATTAATTAGGTGCAACTGTGGAAGCTTTGTATGGCAGTGGCTTCAAGTGACCGAGTTGTCGAGCCAATATAAACGGGGTTTTAAGGTGTTTACTGAACACCTTCAACCTGCTTTTTGTGTTTAGTTCGTTGTCCTTCACCCGCACCTCTGATAAGCACAGTTGGCTACATACAGTGCGAAAGAGGTTCAACTTACATGCATATGACCTGTGTGATTTGACTGGAAAATTCCATTCCAGTTGCCCACCGATCATATTTGATGCTGGACATCTGTGAAAGAGCCTCATAGCTCATCGGATTCCACCAGGATAAATACAGATTCTGATATTTGTCTAGATAAGAGCAACTAAAACTTTAGTAGAAAATATTGTGACAACTATCGCTGGTGACAACTGCTGGAAACAATAACCCTGACATTCCCCTCATGTAGCAAGGCCTCAAGATTGCTTGTTAAGAAGTATAGACTTGGGGCAAGCGCTATTTAGCAAGAGCATATTAGGACTGGCACATTGGTGATGTTCACATGCTGCACCAGGTGCTCATTAAAGTCGAGTCGACATACGAGATGCCCAGGACAGGTGGTTCACCTTACAACCTGCTACTGCTGTTATTCACGGGAGGTACATGCACCCGAGTCACCCGGTTTGCAGTGCAGCGTGCTAATCGCTACACTACTGTTCTCCACACTCGGACAGACACGCGCGCGTGTGTGTGCGCGGACGGTGAGCGAGCGAGTGGCACTGACCGCACGGCAGCGTTGGTGACGCGGAAGCAACCCGAGATGTCGAGGTGCTGCAGTCGGGGACAGCCCTTGGCCACGGCCTCCACGCCGCGGTCCGTGAGGCCGCAGTCGAGCGCCACGCCCAGCGACATGAGGCCTGGGCAGCCGGCCGCCAGGCGCGCGAGGCATTCGTCCGTCACGCCCAGGCACTCGCTCACGTCGCACGACTGCACGTCGCGCACAACGCGCACGACACGCACGGGTGCACATGCGCACGATGACACCGGTTTGCGATTTTCCAGCCAGATGACGCGATAGGGAAGGCCCAATCAAGGCCTACTCAGTAGTTTCTTTCCCTTTCCCCGCACCTCCTTATGAGCACGGTTGGCAATGTAGAGTGCGAAAGAAGTTCAACATACATACATACCAACAATTCGCAATATGAAGGTGTTTTGGTAATATGTTCCAACAATGGCAAAAACTGCCAAGGTGATGTGTTTAGGTTGTTCCGTAAAGATGTGAATCCGGTCCATAGTATCTCAACACTCAAAGAAGTGCTGAGCATTGCTGGACATCTCTGAACTACAAGACATCTGTGATGATAGAGCTTCAAAGCTTATCGGATTCATCCAGGGTAAATATTCTGATTCTGATAAAGATTCGTCTTCCATCTTCATTGACAGCCCTGAGCTGTGATAACCGACCACAAGGGGGCGCTCATTTTATTGGCCCGAGAGAGATCAAGGCTTGACGAAACCTTAAATTTCAAGTCGCATGCCCAAGCTGCAGTACAATGCAGCTGGTCATTGCAAGTTTGTTAGTAATTCCCAGTGATGGGTCGACTCAGCTCATAACCCCCCTGAGGTAGACAGTGAGAACCACTCTGTGGGAAGTCAGCAGTGGTTGTCTTCTATTACAAAAGCCCGGCGTTCCGTTTGTCCATAAACTAAATTATAAGAGCCTTTCAGAAGGCCTGAAGCAAAAAGTTAGAGAAAATGGACCCCCCCCCAGATGTGGGGGTAAAAAGTTGATCCAACAGGGTTACAAAAATTGTCGACCCCCCCCCCCCCCCCAAGTCAGTAATATCTACACACATGGGGGTACTCGAGAAGATGATTTCAGTGGCGACAAAGCGCCGAGAAGCCCTCCGCTGGAGCTTGAATAAAGCCGCCGGAGGCCCCCAAAATTTTGGTACGACTAAATTTGTCGTTGCCAAAAACAAAATAGAATTTCCACCACTGGCTCGGTAAAAACGCGTTTGGCAACTCTACCACTACCGTGGTTACAGCTCTCAGGAAACTTGTGCGTTTTGATTTCGCTGCTGATTTATAGGGCGCAGTCTAAATCTTGGCCATCTACTCTTAAACCCCTGCCTCATTGCAGGATGTATTTATCCTACTCTTCATTTCCTTTCACAACTCACTCGAGTCATTATGACAAGCAGATTGCTAAGCGACAGCAGGAGAACACTTGAATGGCATCCACCATCTGCCTTAGGTTTTTTTCAGTCCTCACAAAATATTCACAAAGTAATTATAAAAGGTCAAATCAGGAAGAGGCATTAGATCCTGTTTACTGGAGCAGTAAACATATGTAAATGTATACTATTTACATCGTTCATAAAGATATATTTCATTAATGAAAACCTGAGGCACAAAATGCAGAAGGGATTAGAATGTTTGGCCAATTCGGTTTCGCCGGTATGCTTCGCATGTGAGAAGACACTGGAGTATCTTGAGAAAAACCAGCACGCATATCTAGTAGTAACTCCAAAAAGCGTCCAAATGGGTCCACAAACCCGCCTGCTGTACTATCTCAGCCCAGCGGATTGGAGAGGATGACAAATCTCAATACGATCCATCAACCATTGCCTCCAAAGCTCTGAATCCAAGGTGTGCATCATCATGCCCGGCTGTATTATTAGGTGACCACGGTGGCGAGATGTTAACTCCCTCGCCTGGTATGGGTGAGGTCGTGGGTTCAATTCCGACCCTGACACCTGTATATTTAGAGTTCACGTGTTCTCCCCGTGGTAGCGTGGATTTTTCTCCGGGCCCTCCGGTTTCTCACTCCACATTTTGAGCGATTAAGATGTGGCCAGGTCACTTCTGAAAAAGAGCTATATAACTCAGTGGGACTTACCCAGTAAAATAAAACGTTTATTGTGTTTAACGGGTCTCAAGAGCACGTAGCAGTTTCTGCCAGACACCACCAACTACCCCCATGAAAGTCAAGGCGTCGCACTTCACTGCAAACGCCGCCGCCGCCGCCGCCGCCGCCACTACCTCCAGCTGCGGGCAGCCCTCGGCGAGGCCGCGCAAGCACAGCGGCTCCAGCCACTTGCAGCCGCGCAGGCCGACGCGCCGCAGGCCCGGGCAGCTGGAGGCGAGCGCGTGCAGGCCGGCCGGCGAGAGGCGCGAGCAGCGCGCCAGCTCGGCGCGTCGCAGGCGGAGGTTGCGCCGCACGAGGGGCACAAGCTCAGCGTCCGTGAGCCAGGAGGAGCAGCCCGTGAGCACGAGCTCGCGCAGCGCGCTGCTGTGCTGGAACAGCTCGGAGAAGCACGTGCGTGGGAACGTCGGCGCCACCTGCGGCTCGACGGGGACAGCACAACGCCAAGGCAGCCAGCCGGTTATGTACGCGTAGTCAACAACATTATATCTCTCAGATGTTTCGATTCGATGGGAATCCGACTCGGTTTATTTACTGTGAGAAAATGTGTTCCCAATATAGCAAGGGATGTACATTATATCAAGGGATGTACATTTTACATTATTTCTAATAAGCAGTCAGGCAAAGTGTATGTATGTTAAACTTCCTTCGCACCGTATGTTGCCAACCGTGCTAATCGGAGGTGCGGGGGAAGGACAACAAACTCAACACATAAAAGCAGTTCTAAAGAAAAGCGTTTTCAATCTAGATTTAAAAGAGTTCACGTCAAGTCCATGCCACAGATTATCTATCCTCATTACCTCCAGATTATCTATCCTCATTACCTTCATATATAATGGAGGTAATGAGGATAGATAATCTGTGGCATGGACTTGACGTGAACTCTTTTAAATCTAGATTGAAAACGCTTTTCTTTAGAACTGCTTTTATGTGTTGAGTTTGTTGTCCTTTCCCCGCACCTCCGATTAGCACGGTTGGCAACATACGGTGTGAAGGAAGTTTAACATACATACACTTTGGAGGTAATGAGGAGGTGAGTGCAGGGTTGCCATAAGCTTTCTGGAGGTCCGGGGAGAAATCCCAAATGAGGCACCCTCAGGCTTTGCTGGACAAACTTCTCCACCTGCCCCCGCCCCACTCTTTCTCTGCTATAAATTTCCAGACGGTTAGCCAAATTTTTTTTGCGCTATTATTTGTGGCCAGGTCGCTTCTGAAAAATAAGCGAATAGCTCAGAGGGCTTTAACCTGGTAAAGCCCAAAAATAGTTTCATTTGTTTTTTCAAATTCTTAGCTCTTTCGGTAAAGTCACGTTGAAGGGAAACAATAACATAATAAAATATATATAAAACAATAAAAATTCTCACGATGTTTCGACCATAACGCAAACGGTCGAAACATCGTGAGAATTTTAATTGTTTTATATATATTTTATTGTTTCCCTTCAACGTGACTTTACCGAAAGAGCTAAGAATACGAATTACTGCAGTCACGAAAGCTTTAAATCATTTGTTTTTTTTTCAAGTTATTCGTTTGCCTTTCCAATACTTTGCACTCCTATCGTGTTTGCATCGTCCGCCGTTGCAACGCTCTGACCCGGCCCTAATGGACATCTCTGCAAAAAAAAAAAAAAAGAGCTTTTACAGCTCGTCGAATTCCTCCGCGGCCGTGGGGGAAACGGGCCACGCCGGCCGGCTCACATGACTGAGGTCGAGCGAGCGGGCCGCGCTCAGGTGGAGCCGCACGAGCTCACGGAAGCGGCGGCACACGCACTGCAGCTGCAGCAGCTGCGCCAGGGGCAGGCGGGACAGCACGTGGGGGATGAGCACGTCCTCCCACGGCAGCTCCAGCAGCGAGTGCCTAGGGAGGGAGGGAGGCAGAGGGTAGGGGGCACGGGCGGCAGCGACGGCACGTGTTGTTACACGGTGGTGCTAATGTATCTTTGATTCTATTTGCGAGCTTGCACAGCTTTACATTTTTTTATGCTAATTCCTTTGTCAAGGCGTCTTTTCTGTTTACCCACTCACGGCTTAAAGGAGACGACCTGCGCTTGACTTTTTTCACTCCAACGCTGTCCTCCGGACAGATTGGTCCCTTCACCTGATGAAGGCCACTTGTGTTGTGGTCGAAACGTCGTGATTTTTGTTATTTTATTTTTTTACCTACGTGACTTTACCCAATAGAACAAAAAAGTTTGGTACAATGTGACAACGCGATTTTTTTTAAATTAAATGTTATCAACTTTAATTTTTATATATATATTTTTTTCTATCTACGTGACTTTACCGAAAGAAGCAAGAATACAAAAAACATACTTATATTTGATTCATTTCACGAGGTTGAGAACATTCAATGTGGAGTGTATAAAAAAAAGGATCACTTCATGCCAAGGAATCAGAATATTTCAGAATTAGAATGCATATTTAGACTGGAGGAATCCGATGAGCTATGAAGCTCTTTTTCACAGATGTTCCAGTCGGTCCCCGTCATCTCAGAATGGCGAGCTGAGATGACAAACTATCCTCCAATAAGTTAACAATACGCGTCCGTCCCATATTGGTGTCCAACACATCTCCCATGAGTCACACGGCCTTCTGTGAGTGCATCTTAACAGCACAATTGGTCTCAGTACAAGCAATGCCCTGGACCGGTTTCGACATTCAGCGCCCCGTCAGCAGTCAGGCTCGCTGGTGACCTGTCCGACGTTTCGGGAAGGACCTCTCTCTCTCTCTGTTTCGACAACGCGGGGGGGGGGGGTGGTCTCAGCTGAGAGCCCGGGGGGGGCATTCAAAAACCGAGACGCACAAATCGATCCACTAATTGTTGTAGAATTGCCACCGACTCGACTCCCCGTGCACCGATCACACAGGAATCGAACAACCAATAAATCGTCACCTACGATTCGACGCGTTTCAATTGCCGCAAGAATCGTAAAAAAAACGTCTCGGAAAAAATCCGGAATCGATTCGGGCTCATAAATAAATGTTGTGTGTGTGTGACAATCTCGCGAGCAAACAAAGGGCACGGGGGAGCACCTGCGGGCAACCTGCGCCTCCATGGAGCCGGCCGGCCGGGCGGTCGCTTATCTGTCGCGCTGTTGCAGCATGCGACGCTCCGGACGTGAGTCGGGGAGTCACTCGGGAGAGGCGAGCGGTAGCCGCCCGGCTATCAGCAGCCGCGCTGTGGAGGGGTGGGGGGGTGAGGGGGGGGGGCGCCCTTTGACCCCTTCCCGCGGTGACGTCGCGCGCGAGCCACGGCTTCCTCTCTCCCATTGGACGAGATATCGATCCACGGGTGATCGCGAGGAAGGCTGTATCGATTATCGCTCGCCTCGCGATTAATCGGTCGCCCCCCCCCCCCAATTTTTTTTTTAATCTCACGCGTGCGTGCGTGCGACTCGCGCGTGGTGGATTGAAGGATCTGTCGAACACGTGTACGACTTGCGGCCCTATGTGTAGGGGTGTGTCTTGTGTGTGTATGTGTGTGGGGGCGGAAGGAATCGATTCCGGAATGAATTTGTAAGCCGTCGAATCGCGATCGTTAGATTCAGTCTCATTTATTGCGCTTGTTGTGATTGGGCCACGTTCAACTTCTTTCGCACCGTACGTAGCCGGCCGTGCTGAATCCCATAGCCATCAACCCCATACGGTTTACACGTTATTCCTGTACAGGGAATTTTAGTATCAATACGGGAAAAAAAAATTGTATTGTCTATTTGTTTGTGTTCCTCGCTTGTGATGGGACTTTGCAGGATGAACGTTGAGATTTATCAGGGCACGGGGTGACCATTAAGGTCTGGAATGGTCTGTAATAATGAGGTAGGGCACTGATAATGGTTTGGCAGGTGTGCTAATCGTAGGTGCGGGGGAAGGACAGCAAACTAAGGGGCCGTCCATAAATGACGTCACGCACCTAGGGTGGGGGGGGGGGGGTCAGGCACAGTCCCTATGATCACTGTTATATTGCATTTATGGCTTTGTTTTTGGTGATTCCGAAAACTTTTTTTTAGTTTGGCCATGTGTTTGTTTATTGTAGTACGGAGTTAGACTGACGGCCTTAATCTTAGTTGTCTTGTGGTTGTTGTTGTTGTTTGACTTGCATCCCACTGGGATTTTTGCACACAGCGTTGGTGTACGGTGATATTTCAGGAATATTTTGATGTTTTTTTTCCCTGGATTTTCTGTTTGCACAGTCACACAATCACTTTAAGATGTTTTCTTGTTCATGTTTTTTGTTTGTTGCGGTTGCACCCGATTCAAGAGCCGAATGGCTCACAGGGCTATACCAAATAAATGGAACTATTTGTGACGATGTGTGACTTGGTGGGGGGGGGTCAAAAATCGTCAAAAATCGCGTCACGTCATTTATGGACGGCCCCTAAACACAACAACAATAATTTATAAAGAGTCTTCAATCCGAACGATTTAAGAAAAGTGCATAGCTCCCAGTGGCTTCCGAATATCGGAAGAGCGTTCCAGACGGCCGCAGAAGCAGCACATCTGAAAACGCGAGATGGGGGGGGGGATAGGCCTCATTGAGGATCAAGGATTTGGGTTTTTATTCTCAAGAGGGTCCTGCCAAGTCTTTGTCGCATAGGGGGCGATGTTGCTGCTGCTGCTGAGTGTGATCCCAGTTAAGTAATTTTCTATGAGCCAAGAATGTCTGTGTGTCCCGCGCGTGACGTCACTGCACGTCGGCCAGCCTCCCTCATTAATAATCATGAGCAGGTGACGTCACTCAACATCGAACAGCCCCCCCCCCCCTCATTAATAATCATGAGCGGGTGACTTCACTCCACATGTAGCACCCCCCCCTCCTCATTAATAATCATGAGCAGGTGACGTCACTCAACATCGAACAGCCCCCCCCCACATTAATAATCATGAGCGGGTGACTTCACTCCACATGTAGCACCCCCCCCTTCCTCATTAATAATCATGAGCAGGTGACGTCACTCAACATCGAACAGCCCCCCCCCCCTCATTAATAATCATGAGCGGGTGACTTCACTCCACATGTAGCACCCCCCCATCCTCATTAATAATCATGAGCAGGTGACGTCACTCAACATCGAACAGCCTCCCCCCCCACATTAATAATCATGAGCAGGTGACGTCTGACAAATGAACACCCCCCCCCCACTATTAATATTAATTACTACACATGGGGGGGGCGAGGCGCCTCCTCCCCCCCCCCCCCTCGGCGTCAACTCACAACCCTCACTACAAAGGCAGAACCCTCACGTCATCACGTGATCTCCGTGACGCTGTTGCTGAGACATCGAAGTAAAAAGGACGTCGTGATGAACAAGGGATTATAACCTTTAAATGAAATAAGTCTGTGTCACCGCGCCCTTACAAATTGCACACGCATTGATGCAATTAATATCACGTCGCGGTCTGCTACTCTCTTGCAAGTTTCAGATTTACTTCAATACACGGACGGGCAAAAGGCGAGTTTAAATAGATTTCAGCATTGGGATGGTTGCATACCTATCAACCCCTTTGTCAGTATCTACCTTATTACAGACCAATTCAGACCTTAGGGGCCGTCCATAAATGACGCCACGCACCTGGGAGGGGGGGGGGGTCAGACCTTTGTGACGATGTGTGACGAGGGGGGGAGGGGTTGAGAAATGTGACGTCACATCAAAATGCGCAACTTTAAATACATAAAGACAACACGTTCTACTTAATTAAATATACTTTGTAATGTTTTCTCCTACAACATCAGAGTGCAGCGCCACATTAAATACGCACTACAATGACAATAGTTTAAAGCGATTTGAAGCATGTTTTATTTGTTTGGGGGGGAGGGCAGAGCTTTGTGACGTCATATTTGAGGGGGGGGCCTGACTTTTTGTGACGATGGGAGGGGGGGTCAAAAATCCTCCAAAATCGCGTGACGTCATTTATGGACGGCCCCCGAGACTTTACAAATCAGAATCAGTCGACTGGGGGAATCCGAAGAGCTACTAAGCTCTTTGTCACAAATTTCCAGTAGGGGGCAGGTCAGAAAGTTACAACAACAACAACAATACAACATCCATGACAGGAGTGCCAAGTATAGGAAAGGGTAAAGCAAAGTCACTCAAATGTGGCCCGGTCCCACTCCGCATCCGACTCGCAGAAACTGGATGAACTTGTTGACAAGTTTGTGCTCGAGGCCCGTGATGTGCAATCCAGTAGCCTACCTTATACACGGGAATCGCTGGCGCATGCGACGGGAATTGTGAGCGTTGTGTTCGTTTGTTATGCACACCCCAGGTGTCAACAGAACCAGGAGGTTTACCCCCCACACCCCGCTCAAGCCGTGTCCATTTGCTGCCTGTGCGATGTTTCGCTCGTGCCCACTCAAAGGCGCTTGCGATGAGCCCTTTAGCGAACAAGGTGAAGATGTTCCATGGGGGGGTGGGGGGGGGGGTCCACGTGTCAAAAGCATTGAGAAGGGAGGGCATGACCGTGGCCGAGAAGCCCCCGAAGCTTCGTGTGCGGAGCGACTGACACCAGGTAACTTCCACACAGCCGACTTAAAAGCATAAACGCCGCCCGCGGCTGACTCGGGGGAGTGAGACCTCTGCTGTCAAACCGGAGCTGGTCCATTAAAGCCATGCACGCCAATACAGCGGGAGAGACCCAAACGCCATCAATCCGATCATGGGCAATGAAATGGAATCGTTACAAAAATCGAATCTAAAGCAGAGTGAAGAATCGAGAGAGGGAGCGGAAGGGGAGTGAATGGGGGAGGGGGGCAACAAAGCGTTACGATTCGATTATCCGAGTCGATTACCCGGATCGTGCGCGTCGTCAAGGCACGCACGACCCTTGGCCCGCGTTGATTGGCTTACGCCGAGCACAACATTCCGACTCGGGCCTCAAATACCGCCCCCCCCCGATTGGTCCGTTTCGCTTCACGTGACCGTCACCTCGAGTCGCACGCGCACTCACGCGATTGGCGAGCCATAACACCCCCCCCACCATCACCCTGGCGCGTCACGTGGTGACGCCGACACCCAATCGCGCCTCACGGGGGTGCGAGCCGAGGGTCACGTGCTCCACCGCGTACGTCGTACCGCCATGTTGGGTAGGGGGGAGGGGCAGCGTGACGTCACCCCACCACGACGCCCCTGCACATTGTGTACAGTGTATTTGGTGGGCAGAGGGGCGCTAAAGCGCAACAGCAACAACCAAAAAGAAAAAAAACACGTTCGTCAATAACCCCGTGACCTTACACAGGAAGCGAGAGGTGACGTTTCGGGTAATGGGTCAGTTTAGTGGGTGTTACCCCTGATGGTGCATTGAAGGGACATTGTCCGAAACTTCGCCTAAATATTTGTTTTTTTGTTTTCTCCCTTCAAGGCAACAGTGCTATGAGTGAACATTTTGAGTTTCCCCTCCCGACACCCCCCCCTCCCCATTGTAATGATCGGGGGCAGCTGCACCCCCCCCCCACCCCTTACCAACATGGCGTCTGTGGACTCAGCGGGCGGGGGACGCGCGCGTGGTGGGGGGCGGGGAGTGTGCGGGGGCGAGGGTGGGGGCGGGTGACGTGGCCGCGCCGCCGCCATATTGCGGATGCAGCAGCGAGCGGGGAGCGAGACGCGGGCGGAGCAGCGATTTAGCAAAAGAGCGCAGCGTCAACGGCGATAATAACTACAGCAGCAGCTAGTAGCTGGCGATACGAGCGATAAGTACCCGCTTCGCTAGGCGTGAGCGTGAGAGAGCCGCCCCTTGCTGTCGTTGACGCCCGTGAGGACAGCGCCATGAGGACGTCGCCCCTCGCGCCGGTGCTCGCGTTGCTGCTGCCCCTGCTGTGCGGCCTCGGGGAGGCGGACGAGCACGACCACGAGGCGAGATGATGGGGGGGGGAGGCGGGCGGGCGGATACCGTGGGGCGAGACGGGGGGATACCGTGGGGCGAGACGGGGGGATACCGTGGGGCGAGACGGGGGGCCATGCGCGGCGAGCGAGGGTGGTTGGGGGTTGGGGGGCAGCATCGCGGGGCACTCCCCTGTCTTGACAAGGGGAGTAGCGAGAGTGGCCCCCGTCTCTCTCGCAGACGGCAGCTTGCACCCGGTGGTGGTGGTGGTGGGGAGTGGCTCGCTTGAGTCGTGTCAGCGCTGTCTCTCATCGTGTGTCACAACCAGGGGACAGAGAGCCGTGCCCGTTTATCACGGAGCACGTACGCGTCTCAATGTGAGCTCGCCGCCCCGTCTCACTTTCACTGTGTAGCCACCGACGTCCTCTCTCGGTGTGTCGATGTCTCTTTCTCGTCGACCGATTCTCCTAAATCTCCCTGGATCCGAAACAATGTGTCTCACCGTTTTCCTGTCTCATTGTGCACATCGCCGTGCGTTGCCGTGTTTCCGACGGACTGACTTTTGTTAACTCCCGTGTGTCTTCACTGGCTCGTACCGTCTCGCGTTGTTCTTGTATCTGCGTTTTTGTTGTTGTTTTCGAACTGCGTTCTGTATGTTTTATTTGTGTTTCCTCTGCTCGCCTGACTGCACCACACGCCTGTGTCTCGTGTCTCCCCGCGACATGAACTCTCCTTGTCTCTCGCCCCGAGTCGTGTCCTGTATCTCCACGTGTCTCTCAGCGATTGTCCCCCCCCTCTCTTCCTGTGTCACTCCCCCTGGCTCTGACTCTGTGTGATTCTCAACGTGCGTGTCTCATTGCCCCCCCCTTCTTACCTCTTTGCTCGTGTGGCTCCGTTTATTCCCTCTCATTTCGTTAACTATCCAACCGGGCGGGTGGATTTTTTTTGTCTGTAAAGAGTGCATCCACTCGCGCGACGTGAACCCGGCTCATGAACCTTACCATGTCGATAAAGTAAATACCAGTGACGGCACAGTCAACAGCGGATGCCCTTTGGGAAGATTAGACACCGCCATGGGAATGCGGAATGTATGTACACCAAAGGGCTCGGGGCCACCAACGTAGAGGAACACTCCCATGCGGCGATCCACGTTAACTTTCATTCGAGTTCTTGCTGGAGGGGAGACGGGGACGAGTTTGCTGTATACTCTTAGCGCGTCCGTGCATGTGTGCAGGTACAGGTGTGCGTTCTGCCAACGAGAACTCCACGTTGGCACAAAGCGGTTATGGTGTTACGTGTTGGGATGCAGAGGGCCGCACAGCAACGTTGATTATTGTACCGTACTTCGCCGGCTCCCACGTCTATGCCCTCCCCACCGCCTTCACCAATCGCGACTGACAAGCGTGTACAACACACATGCCTGCAACTGCACCACAGTAGGGGACCCCTCTTAACGACCACCCCTTTTAACGATGGGCCTCTATGGAGCCCAATGTGTTCGCTTACCGACCATGCCCCTGTTCACGACGGGGCTGTTGTAGGTACGGTAAAGATGAATGAATGCATCGATTAACCAAGTTTCTCTTAGTGGTTTATGTTGTGTCTTTATGTATTAATATGCATTGTTTCACTATTATGAAGTACGTTTTTTTTGGGGTGAAAAGGGTAGCTTCCGATGCTATCGTAACGAATGAAGCCTTTATAATATGTACTTCCTATACTCGCTTAACGACCCAATCACTTGACCGGTTTCGTGGAACCAATGATCGTCCTTAAGAGAGGTTTTACTGCATAGTGGATGTACACAGCGTATATACTTGTAGAGGTTACGTGTATAGGTGTGGGTGCCATTTGGCAAGTCTGCACAGGTAATCGGAGTGCCCGCACACCTGTTAATGTGTGTACATATACTGTATATGTAAGCGACAGTACTGTATCATGTACGTACATGTTGTGTGGATGTATAGATATGTAGTTGTGGTTACGTAGTGTACTGCCCTGCACAAACTACGTTGCATTGAGTGTTGTGTACTTTTAACACGAACTATTTATATTACGGCCCTTTGTCGACCCACTGCTGGATAACTTCACCACGCCGGTCATTGTGGTGGGTTCGTGAGGGGTTCAGACATCGCACTTGTTTACCTGACCGCGATTCGCATTCGGGTAGCCGGGTTCATAAAACTTCGTAGTGCAGTGCGCTAACCATTGCGGCGCCACTTATATACCGTACTTTGTGTGCATACAGTGCTGCATGTGTGTAACGTACACGCCTATGCAGTCGTCTGCATGCAGTGCACGTGTGTGCTTATAATGTATTGAAAATACGGCAATACAGTACATCAAAATGCATATGGCACGTTTGATTAGAATTAACAGCGTCGGTGAAGTCTTGTTACAGGATATGTAATGCATGTGCGATAGTTAATCGTCAGCATTTGTACACTAATACTGCTTGTGTGTGTGTGTCTGTTAGAGGACTTGTGTAAGTAAACCGGCCTGGTCGTCTGTGCATTGCCAAGCAGTCCCGGGCACGCGAGTTAAATCCCTGCAACACATCCTGTAGTCGAACGCCAGTGGCGGGTGCCGTTCGAACGACCACTCCTTTCAACTCCCGACTAAAACGTGTAACAAAGGACGGGTCATGTGGCCTGGTGTGCTTTCAGCTTGGCCCTGCCTGCATTTATAGACGCTGGCCCACATCACCCGCCTTGGGGTTCGAAGGAGGTTCCTGTGGGTGCGCGCACTGCACGCGCACGCTTGTGATATGCTTGTACTGTACAGTGGGCAGTGCAATGATGTGCAATTATATAAATGCATATATTATGTATGCGAATTCACATTTGTGTTTGGGCTGTGTTTATGTATCGGCATGCATTGCTTAATGGGATTAAACTGCAAGTTTTGCATGAATTATTACTCAAGTGACTACTATTATGCAGATCTCCATTTTATTTATAAAAGAAAGATTTGGGGGCTTATTTGTACGCGTGTCGTGTAAGCGTGTGTGTCTGTGTGTGCTGAGAGTGCGAATAGGTGTTTTTTTCTCGAGTATATTTGTTATTATTTATATTTACTACATTGTTATACTTCGTTTAATGTTATGGCGTTGGCATTTTGCTTATTTAGGTCACTTGCAATAGACTATCCTTATCTCCTTTTGAGTTCCCACCATGGTAAGAAAATGGGGATGTTTAGCAAAACTAAATTGTACTATTTTTGAATGTTGCCCGTATGGCATCCGATGTATACAGCTTGTAATAAAAAGTGTAGTGGTTACTGGACTGCAAATAGATCATGGCTCTTTCCTTGCAAAATGGAGTAAGGACCATGGTCTTATCAAGTCCTTCTTTCGCACTTGTAATTTGCAGTAATTTGCTCCGTGTCATTGTGTGTACATTGGCTGCCAACGACCATTGGTTGAAGTTTGGGTTTGTCGTTGAAAACCATTGGTGCATGCCACACATTCTTTAAAACTATATTAAAAAAGATGTGCTATTTTTTTATTTTACCACATATGTATAGCTCTTTTAGAAGCGACCTAGCCATAATTGATAGCTCAATTAAAGTGGCTTATCACGTGGAAATTTATAGCAAGAGCCAAATACTCTTAAACGGATCGTTCAGGCTGCCCATATGCATATTAACACTTGTCACCAGCTCGAGTAACACTACGATTGTGACATTGTGTGCAATTTGTACGCTTGGTCACGAGGAGTCTGGTTTCTGGCAGATCTTGGCTCCATAAGAGGTTTTTTTGGATTAGCTCTTAGTGTTTCAGTTTTTTTTGCTCAGCACACCTGTCATAACCACGCCAAGTTTGGAGCAGTGGTGTGGGAGTGTTAATGATTGAACCACAGTTGTACAAGCAAAACCAAGGTTATCTGGGTAGTTTGGATGTCGGTGTAAGTAATTTGGACTAGGAAGCAATCTTGATTTAAAGCTTTCGTGACTGCAGGGATTCATTTTCTTGGTTCTTCTACGTGACTTTACCGAAAGAACCAAGAATAGGAAACAAACTATTCGGGTACGGAAGTAAAAGAGTCGAACCACGCATACATCCCTCATTCAGTTTTCATTGGTCAAGACCGACTCGCCCTATAATTACTTCCTAGTGTTTATGCGCACAAATCTCCTGTCATCACCACACGGTAACAGTGCTTCTCGTGGAAATGCAAGCCGACTTTAGCCAACATGGGCCAGCCATTCACATAATGGCAAGCCGGGAGCTAATGTGGGTAGGCAACGATGTGTCACAAATGAGACGAGTAGTGTGCACACAAACTCGCACGTATTTAGTTTCCGATTAAGTGATCTCGGACCATTGCACAATTCCGTAAGTGGGTGTGTACGTCGATATATTTTTAGACGTCATTGTCTTCCTGTTCAAGTGTTGGGTAGTACTCAACTTTCTTACCAGCTGGTGGTACTAGTGGAGTAAATTCTGCATTCTCAGTACTGTGGATTTTCCCACAAACTGGGTTCTATTTTTTGGACTGTCTCAGGTCGATTTGAATAGTTGACCACCATCAACGCTTTGATATGCAACCTTCTGATCGTGGGTCGAGTGCCACCTGCCAAACTTTACCGCCCAAACTGTTGATGTCACCATGATAAAACATTGAGTGGATAGGTATGCTAACTGAAACACTGGTGAATGCTTGCGTGTGTTCAGCATTTTAAAGTCTCTTTTTAATGAATGACGCATGCCCGAGAATATATGAATTGCACTTCTTTTGTAACATGGAGAGGTGAGGTGTAATCTTTCAGGCTTAGCAGGCCTCTGTAAATAGGCTGTGTAATTGATCTCCTTGTGCGTTGTTTGCTTTTCTTGAGGCTAGATAGAACTGCTTTCTGTTTTATTTGCATCAGTGTTGCACACATGTTCCGCATAATTGTTTTGGGATTTTTTTAAATTCTATTACAAGAAATAACTTGCCAACGTGCATTGCAGCTCGAGGGCTCTGCTCACAATCAGAAGGCTGTAAATTCAACTCCCAATTGGGACCAACTCAGTCCATCGTCTGTCCCATGCTCAATATAATGAATATCACTTCGTGGGAAGCCAAAAGTGTGACCTTCCTATAAGAGATTGACCCCTATCATGGAAATTGGCATTTTTCAATGCCGTAGTGGAGAATGTACGAATGCAGCACTGCCACGGTAGCTGCTCACAGGTGTTTGGACACAATCCTTAGTCCCCCGGGCGTTTTTAACATATGTACATGCCAATGTCATTTCCCACCACTCTCCATGCTCTAACCTTTAATCCTGAAAGTGCATTTAGTGAATTGGCAACTTGGAGTCGTTCCCAAATTTCATCGGTTGAATCCTGAGTACTACATGCAGACATGTGTTCTGTCACTGGTAGTTTTTTTTATCTCGCCAGGAATTGCAATGCACTGGAGCTCTGTTGGGCGCATTTGACCAGAAGTTAAAGTGTCTCCCTGCATTAATGAGCATGGGGTGGTGCTCATCTCCGTTGATGGTCCAGAGCCAGTTGTGCAAATTAATATTGTGCTATGGAGACACTGGTAGGAGTCGGTGTCTCAAGAGGACAAACACTGACTGTCACATTTTATTTGACCATCGATGGGATTATTGGCTTGGTCAACCCCAGACCACCGGGGATTTGGCCTCAAGACCTTCCAATTGTGGATTTAACTTTCTGCCACAGTGCCACACGGCGGTATATAACCACATGCAGCACGTTTCAGCTTCTGAAAATGTATTGTTTGAGGGCAAGCATATTTACCTTTGATAGCATTAAAAAAAAATTACAAATAAGAAAATGGCACACTTCAATGAAAGAATATGACTACCAGAATAATGTATTTTATAATGGTCATGAGCTAGAAGGGTGGTTGCTCATAATTTGACTGAACAGACCTCTTGGGTGGTCACTGCTAATTGTAGTCATGCCAACCTGAAGATTTGTGGCAGCATTTTTTTTTCCTCAATTTTACTCATCCTATGATACCTCGACAAAGCATTAAAGGTGCCTCCCTTATTCATGCACCTGGAATCTGAAACATTTTGTCAATTTTTAGTAATGCAGTTTATTTTTTTGTTACGAGTGAGTCTTATTAAAAGTGTAGATTTGCAGATATGCTGCTTTACCTTGGCAAATAAAGAATTATGGAGCATTGTTGCTCATGAAGGATAGTAGGAATGTCACAGCATGAGAAAGTAATCGACTAAGAAGTTAAGAATAGAATATGGCAGATCTTGGCTGCATATTCATGAGATATTGGATAACCTAGTGATTGGTGCTTTAACCGTCAAAGTGTCAAGTGAAATAGTTTTATTGGGTCAAATCATGTGGTTATGCTCTATGGCATTGTCAATGCCCACCATCTGCTTTCAAGTTGATGTTAAAGATCCTGTGGCTGTATTTGCAAGAGTAGGAGCTACTGTGTTGTGTAAATTTGAATGTAGTCAATTTTGTTAAGATAATGTTGCTTAATGGAGGGCATGTCTGTCCTTGGCAGACCCCCAGCAACAATACGATGTTGATGACAATTGAAAAAATAAGCACGTTTTAATTTTAAAGCACTTGCAGTCATCACTCATATATAACGCTGTTGTCTTTTGGCATGCCGTAGGTATGCCTAACAAAGACTAAACGTTTCGCCATTTCAGTGTGATGAGAACATGAATATCAGAATTTGCTGTATATGTTAAGTAAAATTTTAAGAAGTCGCCCTGTCATGGTAATGACAAATGAGCCAGCACTGTTTAGGTCCTTAGTTTGAGTCCCAGATTCCCACCCGAGAGTAATTTTTGATTATTATATATCCGGCCACAGCTGAATCATAACCAAAGTGATTCGCCTTGCCTTCACACGCATTTGAAGGTTGCAGTTGCATCCCAGGTGGGGTACAGTTTGGTCATTTATCCCTTAAGGATCATTAACAAGAGTACCACTTAATGGGAAGTCAGCATTTGTTGTCCTTTGAAGACACTGGTTTCCACCATAGGAATGTGGAATTTCACCACTGGCTCAAGATTTAACAGGGATTAGTGCTGTCTCATGCTGGTTTGAGCAGAATATGCTTTGGTTTGCATCATTTGTGGCTTGAATGGTGTATTTTGTTTTGTCACTTTACTGCAAGATATGTATGTTTGTTTGACCGATTAGGCACAAAGAGAACCACTAATTTGCACAGCTGCAACAAAGGGAGTTTGGAGGTTGTGTAGAATAGACTTTTGAAGAACGTCAGGCTCATGCCATCATTACCAGGTGGTTCCACCATGTAACATGTGGTTCTGCTGCTGAAGGGGTGTGTGTGATGTGCGGAATGCTTCACTGCTAGCGTGGTTGCCCGTGGCACAATGATGACAGTCATCTTTTTTTTTAAATGCAAGCAAAAAAACGAGCAGAAGAAGAAAAGTCAAGAGGGCTGGGAGTAATCTGTGTGAACCAGTTGGAATGTGGTTGGAGGTATAATGTCACTGACAATTGGAGGTGGAATGTGGCTACCAGAGAGATGTGTTTTAAAGCTACAGGCCTTTGTGTGCCACCTTCACGATATAGAACTTTGTATATTTGGTATAAACCATTGAGACGTATGTCAATATTGGTATGCAGGAACAGGAGTAATTAACATATAAATGCTTCGTGTCTACTTCTGTACATAAATGCTCTCTGAAACAGAAAGCAACTTGTAAGTTCAAAGTTGAACGTGTTATACAGGATCTGGTTTAATCAAGAAGAGGTTATAGTAGATGGGAAACCTACAGAATGGAGCAGGACAGGTTACTGAGAGAGGCATTTTGAGTCAACACGCAGAGGTTGGCTTCCAAGAGAAGTCTGATGGTGAGATTGTAAGTGGACCTCAAATGACGTGTTAACTTTCCTTTCTGCAAAAGAAAAGACCTGAAACCACATGGTGGGATCCTGTAAAAGTTGAACCCGGAGGGTAGGTCTCAAAATTAAAAACACTTACAGAATGTATCGGGGAAGGAACCAATGGCAAGAAGCTGTCATATCAACAGCAGTGACGAGACGCTTTTGTCTCGGCCGCTTTTTTCTTTGTACGTGAACTGGTTTGGAGCAGTTGGTTTGCCTCGCGTCTTCGCTCACGTGTCCTGCCTTGTGCCGCTCACCTTGCAGTACAAGGATGGCGATGAGGTGGTGCTGTGGATGAACACCGTGGGACCGTACCACAACCGGCAGGAGACCTACAAGTACTTCTCCCTGCCGTTCTGCGTCGGCAACAAGAAGAGCATAAGCCACTACCATGAAACACTCGGAGAGGCCCTGCAGGGCACGGAGCTCGAGTTCAGTGGTCTCGACATCAAGTTCAAAGGTGAGCGATCACCTTCCTTAGTTGTCACAAACAGGCCACCGCAATGTCGTAACAATAGCATCAGTGCAACATAACCAGTCAATTCAACCCCACTTGTGTGATAAACCGCATTTACCATACGTGTAAGTAGATATTCCTCATACGCGATGCGTATGCCGTTTTTCCCCCCAAAGCACACACCCTCTGGTGCATGCCTTTCATTCAGTTATTTGGAGGCCAGATTTGGTCATGCACACAGATGTGTATAACCCATTGGCTGCAAGGTGGCCAGGGGATGGCAGTAAAGTAAAAATGTTTGTGAATCACTCTTGGTGGAGCTTTGAGTGTTTACGCGTTTTCTCACTCGAGTTTCCTCCCATATGCTAAATACTCGATGCTGTACTTGGCCAAACATTGCAATGCAGCACCCTCCTGAAAATATCTTGAAGTGCAGTAAAGCTTTACTAGATACAAGGAATGATGAAAGTTCTTAATATTATGTTGAGTTTGTTTCCCACCGTACATAGCTAACTGTGCTAATCGGTTGGCGACGTGCATTGCACATTTGCTTGGGGTACTCAGCCACGTTGGACGTACAGCGAGGAGATGGAGCGATTATACCTGCTCGTGTGCAGGTGTTAAGGTGGATTACTACTTCACAGGATTGTGAGCAATATTAATGGCTTGGGGAGGCCTCAATCCACTAGTGTATTGACCATAGCGAATGATGATGAATAGGAAAACAGTTTTAATTTTGATGCCGCCTGATTACTTTATCAGAGTACCTTGAGAGAACCCATATATATAAATTGACTTTCTGCACAGCCCAATGCATGATAATATATGCATGGTCCACCCACCCTACTTGCAGAGATCACTGTAAGATGTTTCCATCTTTTCTAACACTGCAGAAACGTTACACACTGGCCATATTCATGTGCTTTGTTAAATGGCTTTGCGGACAACTTTGTTGGATGAATGGCCAAATCGGCAATAAAGAGTGATTTGGCAGTTTTATTTTGGGAATTATTTGTGTAAAGTACGATTGCTGGCAAGTAGTCAAACATCACATGAAATGCGTCCAAATTAGGAATAAAGTAAAAGCCATTTTGTTGATACAGAACCATAAAAGTAAAATATAGACTAACAAACAAATCTTTCTGGCCACATTCTCTCAGTACTACATATATATTATTAAACTCAATGAAATATGCCTCGCTTCAAGAGACATATCTTTTCCTAAGCAAATTTGTAGACCATCCAAAAGTGCCTATCTACTAAAATAAGCATTGGCTTTTTTACTCATCCCCTCTGATAGCCTTGAGCCTAATAGTAGAAATAACATTTTCACCTGCATATGCACTGGGTAGAAAGTAAATGTAATTTGTTGTAGTAGTCTTGTGAGCAGCATGCCTGCCACTGGAGACACTTAATAAATGCATGGTTTGGTTGCCACAGCAGATAATTCCCACAGCGTTGCTACCCTGCGCGTGCCTGCTCCTGTGAAGTGGGCCGTAAAGACTTGTTGATATTCTCAAGAGTGGACTGGTGTGTGTTAATCTCGAAATAATAATTTATCTACAGCCACTGTTTTTTTTACTCTCTGTTAGACCAAACTCGGTTGGAAGGTCTTGAATTCAAATCAACTCAACCCAACATCCCTATGGGGATAATAAAATAAATACCTCTGGGAAATGTTAGTTGTTTACCTATGGAGAGATTTGTCTCTTGCATAACAAGGTGTGAGGTCACATTCCCGCGTCTCCGATTAGCACGGTTGGCTACGTATGGTGCGAAAGAAGTTAAACAAACTTACTACTGTCTCATCTGCTGATGGAGATGAGCATGCACGATTGCCTTATGCTCATTTGAGCACACATACTCTTGGATTATTGATGGAACTAAAGGCATCTGGGGCTTCCTTGCAAAATAGATCATGCATCACCAAGTGTCCTGACCAAGTACAGTAAAATCAATTGTATAAAAAACTCATTCGACAAGTTTGGTGATCTAGCCCAATACATCGATTGTATTGATACATATTTTCCCAATATCAAATTCATAAGTCATCCCCCGACTCATGAAAGTAAGCCTGGCTTTTATGTTCTTTGCATAAATTTACTAAATTCAAAGTACAGTTATCTTATATTTATATAGTGCTTTTATCCAAGGCTCTGAGGGGTACAATTTTGGTAACTAAAAGTGATACGGTGAAAAGGGATGGGGCATAGGGAGGGCGGTTAGTGGGTACTGGAATTACAGAAGTGCCTTCTGGATGCAGGGAAGGATGGGCCAGGGAAAAGAGATGTGGATCTTGAGGGAGGAGCGGAAACTAGATGGGGGAAGGTACTCGCTTAATGTGGAAGGGAAGTTTGTTCCAGTGCAAGGGGGCAAGTAGGGAAAAGGAGTTGAAACGGGATCGTGCACAAGGAGAGGGGGGAACGGTTAGGAGTAGGAGAGATTGAGAGCGGAGCGGGCGGGAGGGGACATAAAACAAGACGAGGGAAGCGAGGTAATATGGAGCAAGGCCATGCAGAGATTTAAATACGAGCTGAAGGAGCTTGAATAGATACCTGTAGTAGATGGGGGAGCCAGTGCATTTCTATAAGAAGGGCAAGGGGCGGGAGCAGTGTGGTAGGTTGTGAATGAAACGTGCAGACGCATTTTGGTTCTGTTGTAGTGAAATTAATGCATATGCTGGGAGACCGAGTAGGAGAGATTTACAGTAGTCTAACCCGAGGGAATATTAGTGAGTGTATTAGTACTTCGGCGGTGAACTGAGTGAGGTGAGTGTAATTTGCTAATGCTGACAAGGTGGAAGCGACATTTGCGGGTGATGGCGGAGATGTGAGAGGCGAGGGTAAAGGAGGAGAAAGAGGACACCCAAGGTTGTGGGCGGAGGGGACAGGGGTGAGAAGGGTGGGAAGGTGGGGGTGGGTGGAGGGGAAAGAGCAGCGGGGAAAAAGAGAACCTGGGTTTGAGGGGTTTATAGCAAGGAAGTGAAGTGACATCCAAGACTGAAGGGCCGTTTGGCAGGCTGAAATGCGAGAAGAGAGATGCGGAGTGAAAGTAGAGAAAGAGAAGAATTTTGAATGTCGTCGGCGAAGAAGTGTTGGGAGACGTTAAAGGAGAAAATAAGTGTTTTTGGAGATGGGAGATGTAGAGAGAGAAGAGAAGGGGGCCCATGACAGAGCCTTGGGAACACCTGTGACAGGTGGAGGGGTGCAGGAGTGATTGAAGGAGACCGAAGATGAGTGTGAAGAGATATATAATTGGAGCCAGGATAAAGTGGTGCCGGAAATGCACAGATTAGAGAGTGTAGAGAGAAGAGTGGGATCATCGACATTGTCAAAAGCCGGGGAGAGGTCGAGGAGAATGAGGACTGAGGAGGGACGTGCATTGGCCGAGTTTGGTCAGGTGGTTCTGGATGGTAATGAGTGCAGTTTCTGTGGAGTGACATTTAAACTCCACCTGGTGTCGTATAGGTTTTTTCAATTGCGGGATTGGGCAAGTGCTCTTTCTTATAAAGCAAATCTAGCTACACTAATACACAAATACATCATCACTTTATTAACACCACGACCTGATTTGCAACTTATCAGCCCATATTTATGTCGCTGACAGCGTCCATCCTTTATCGTATCCGTCGCCGCCACCTACCCTGTAAATTTATTTGATTTACATGGTTTCAACATTCGTCGCACATTTCTGGAATTGGCTATTACTGTTCAAGTATAACCCTAGGTGAAAACGTTGTGGTCGGCTCTGCACAGTCAGCGAATCTGTGTCTTAGAAAGTATCTTCTTTGGTTCTTTCGGTAAAGTCACGTAGAATGAGAATAAAATAATAAAATAAAACAATAAAATTCTCACTGTGAATCCTTGCAGTCACGAAAGCTGTAAATCGAAATTTATCTCCTTTTAGTTTGATGCAATGTTTAAAATCACCGCGTATCAGGTGAGCAATTTTAAAAGTGAATTCTCTTGTCCAAAGGTGATGATGCTTGTTTGGCAGCTGTCTTTTAATATCAGTTTGCATTGCTGAACATTTTAACATCCTGATTTTTTAATCTTACCTTTTCCACCGAGTGGCATGTGCGCATATGTGAACATGTCTTGTGCTTCACTTATTCCTGCTCTCCCTGAGATGGGTAGCTCGTGCAGTGGGGTGGTGTACATCAGCACAGGGGAGACAAAGCCAACTGGGTATACATGGTTTTGTCTACCTTTTCTCATGTACCTTTGCCAGCCTTTATAGGTACTCGCTGATACTTTCTGGAGCAGACTACACAGGCTGAAATGGAGCACCTGGTTTGTTTTTGTGTTTTAACCTTGTGCTGTCTTACCCCAGTTGCCACCACGTGTAATCATGGAAAGCATGAGTTACTGTGGCGATCAAATGATAGCAGATTCAACTCTTGGTTGGGTGTTGACCCAGCCGACCATCCAAGGTCGATAAATTGAGTATCACAATGGGAATTCTAGTGGTGGTTCTGCGTATGGGACTGGCCCCTGACACATCGACCTAGGGCTACTCTTGGAGCTGAGTGCCACCACATGTAAATTTGAGCAAGGAGTTACTTTGACTTGACATTGAGTAATTGTAATCCGGGGGTATTATCACCTCTTTTCAATGGGTGATGTAGACAATAGCCACTATAGAGAAAACCCTCTCGATCCGCAAGGGTTACGTTCTTGAAAACGCTCGCGAATTCAGAATTCGCGAATGCAGAAACCTTGTTCCAATGTTAAAATGGGGGTATGTTCCTGGTACGAGTGAACATAGCGGGGGAAGTGGTAAATATTTAAAAACAATGACTACAATAAATTAATTAAGAAGAACTACATGGTTTTTTTATGACCATTTTGCTGATGATGATTTGATGGTGCCGAGGAATCCAGGAGGATGACTCATCGGGAGATGCAGGCGTTTGATAACGGCACCGTTATTTTATCACTCTGGGGAGCACTCGTAGCAACACTCTACCTGATTGCATTCGGTCTTTTTAATGGACCTCACAGTCGACACGTTTCTACCAAAATGTATAAACGAGTCAGCCGTAAGTACGTACAGTAAACCCTTGTTAATTCGACACTTATAAGACTGGCTTTGTCGAATTATTCAATTTTCCGAATTATGTACAATGGTACTCCCCAGTGCCTCCTGCCCCAAATTTGTTTTCTAAAAAAAGTTCTACTTACCATCAGTAACCAGCACTGGAGGTGAAGGAGGATGTGGTTGGTTCCATGTGGAAAGTGACAGAGGTTGTGGGGGGGAGGGCTTAATGCACTTAGTATACACTTAAACTCCAAGGCATGCTTCCTAATCTTCTCCTGGCCTTTCTTGATGTCGTAAACGGTGCTTGATTTTACGTCAAACTCTTCACACACCATATGCATTGACACACCTGCATCAATTCTATCCAAAACTTTGGATTTGTCTCGCAGACTCGGGGATTTATACTTCAGTCCATTTCTATTACTTGCACAGTGCAGAAACACGGTAAAGTCCAAAGCAACAGGTCTGCACTCACGCCCACCATGTGCGCCGCCACTCGACTGAGTCGTTGTTTTAGTTGTGTTTCCTCGCACCTTCTGTTTACAGGTGGCATGTGTCGCCACTTTGGAAGGGTTTAGCCAGAGATGAATCGATTTAATTTTTGGTCCGCGTTTTGGGCAACTGGGAACATGGGAGACGTCTTCTGGCGTTGCTTGGCACAAAGGGCAGCAGTTTGGGGCGTTTGGGTCGATTCGATTTTGGTAATCGGCTAGCATGGAGCAGTAACCTGAACGGAGTTGAGCCAGTTTTGTGCGAGATGCCCGGGCCAGGGATTTTTCGTTGTCTGCTATGGGTGGGGGCCAAACCCCGAGCACGACATTGGACTTGTAGGCGTTTAGGCAGTGCATGGTGGCAGCGGTGTGCAAGTGGTTCAACATTTATTTGGTGGAAGAGCGTTTAAAGTAGATTGCACGTTGCCAGAGCTGAAGGAAAGCCCTAGCAGGTGCAAGGGCTTTGAGTAGCTTTGTGCAAGGATGCGTTGTCGAGTGGCATGAAGCCAGATATTGATTGGTGAGAAGCTTGCAGTGTTCTTGAATTGGAACTTTGGTTTCCTGGTGGAGATGGTCAATGGGCGCCATGAGGTGGCATCCTGTCGCTAGGCGAAGTGCTTGGTTTTGGGCAGTTTGGAGCTTTTGGTTACATGTAGAGGAGAGGTTTTGGCACCAAATGGGGCTGGCATAATTGATGATGGGACGTCCAATAGCTTTGTAGGCTAGGAGTAAAGTCTCCTTTTGTTGACCCCAAGATGTGCCGGGTAAAGCTCGTAAGATGTTATTTCCTTTGTTAACATTTCCATGGACGTTTTTGCCATGTTGAGCGAAGCTGAACATGGTGTCAAAGGTTACACCTAGATTTTTTTGGGTTTTTGCTAGTGGGAGGTGTTGGTTGTTTATTATGACGTTGGGATGTAAGTTGGCTTGATGAGGATCAGGTGTGAAAAGAGTGACTTGATTTGGATGTTGAGAATTGAAGCGATCTATTGGCTAGGAAAGTGCTGAGCCAATTTAGATACCAGTTGATGGAGTTTTCCATTTTGGGTATATTTTGATTAGAAGTGTAAACTGTGATGTCGTCAGCATACTTGACTACTTGTATTCCTTTTGGAGGAGTTTGTAGATCGTGGAGGTAGGTGTTTAACAGCGCTGGGGATATTATGGAACCTTGTGGTATGTACTGCATGAATGTTTTGTGACGAGGATTGAATATCACGAGAGTGCGTGATTGGCGGCCCCTTTGGTAATTTGTTAGCCAGCAAACAAGGCCTGATGTTAGCGTAGAACCCTGGATGATGTCGATGAGCGTGAGGTGGTTAACGGTGTCGAGAAAGCATTTTTAAGGTCAAGGGAAGCAACGTTAGTGCAGGATGGGGGTTTTTCCTCATTGAAACTGTTTGCAATTTGGGTGGTTCGGTTGAGAAGAGCTGTTGTTGAGTGTGCAGGGTGAAAGCCATGTTGGTGAGATGATGGAGGTAAGTTGGTGGTGATTGGAAGGATGAGGGCCTCCAAAATCTTGATTGATGGGCAAAGTAGGAAAATCGGCCTGTAGGATGTTGCTTGATTTAGGTCTTTGCCGGGTTTTGGAAGTGGGTGATTGTCGATGATTTCCAGATGGCCGGAATGATGTTGCACTGGAGTGAGGCGTTAACGGTGGAGGCGAGAAACGTTATGCCAAGGGGGCCGAGGTGTTTGAGGTGGGGCATAGCAATGCCATCGGGGCCAATTGTGGAATAATTTTTGGCTTTTTTGATAGCTAGTTTCACCTCTTCATGGCTAAATTTATTTGATGGATTTTTTGACGGGTGGATTTATTGGAAGAGTGTGGGACGACTGATGAAAAAAGTTTTAAGTTGTTGGCGATGTTATTGTTGTTTATGACGGATTTGTTGTTGAAAGTGATTGCACTATTGGGTGGCGGTTTGGAGTGTCCGTCTAAGGCTTTGGTCTTCCAAAGTTTTGATGAGTTTTGGCGGTGGTCAAAAGATTAAACGAACTCGTGCTAGCGTTCTGTTTTAGCTTGATTGATTAGCTTTGCGATTTCAATATTGAAGGCTGGCATTTGTGTAATAAACCAACAAAACTAATAGTGTTTGGTTGGTTTATTAGCGTTGAGGCTTCTTTTGGGAGGCAGGGAAGGTGTTTGCTTGTAGCAACCCGCCGGGATGGTGTGCTTGGTGGTAGTCGCGATGTTTCTGAAAATATTTTCAGAGTTGTGCCGATGTGTGGATATGGTTGATGTTGTTGGCGAATAATGCTTCTGAGGTATAAAGTGGTCAGTTGGCTTTTTTTAAGTTATAATACAAGTGGTTTTTAAGAGTTTGTGAAGGCTTTGCAGCATTGAGGGTTTTTAGGTCGTTTTTGTTGTGGACGTTTTGTTGTGGTTGTAACGGTGGTTGCGATGGGTGTTGTGGTGGTGCTAGTGTGGTTGTGCAAGGTGGAGTTGTTGGAGTGGATGATGTACAATATTTGCAGAACCAGCTGGAATTTGAACTGGGGATGCCGGCTAAAGTAGTGCAGCGTTTGTCGTACCAAGCTTTACAACCGTTGCATTGGATAGAATTTGCATTGACGTTCTTGCCGCGACCGCCACAAGGGAAAAACGGGCCTGGATTCAATTCGACGTCCCCAGCAATAATGAGAAGCCAGCTCCAGTATGCTGGGAGGCCTGGGCTGGCTGGTGAAAAACAGGAAAGTGCGAGGGGTGATGTTTCCATTTTTGCCTTCGTAGTCCTTGGTCTCTCCACTTGGAACAAGCGGCAACACTTGGAGAGTCGTCGTTTTAGTCGCGGCGTGTGGCGTCGCTCCACGTGTACGCTGAAATTGGACCAGTCGGTACGGCAGTTCGGCTCGTGGCGAATTACTAATACTGTATACGTGCCGAAAGCGCAGCCGTGTCGAATTATCCCCAATTACGAGTGATAAAATACCAAAATATCGAGGTTTTGCTGTATAAAGTAAAAAGGCACGAGAGCGGTTTCGGAGCGGGATTGCCGCGAGACCGAGGACTACTCGGGCAGCTGAGGGGGGAGCGTGGCCTAATCTGCGCAGATAGTTTCAAATGTAAAATTTCGCAAGCACCTCCCCGGTGTCGGTGGTCTGGCACTACGCACTCTCGCGCATACTGGAGTCTGGCGAATAAGGAATTGGTATACATTTAACATTTTGTAACTCGCGAATATGGAATACTCGCGAATCCAGAAGTCGCGCTTAGCAAGGGTTTACTGTACATGTTCTTCTTTAGGGATAGACTGCATCAGTGTAACAATGGATATCGTGGTATGCATAATAATGCAGTAATGACATCCTTTGTATTGGTTGCCTGTCATTGCTTAATCCTATAGCTGGTGGAGAATTATTTCATTTTATTATTTAAAGTTTTTTTATATATATAAAATGTTTCATCTTTCCTTTGCTTCCAGAGGATGTTTTTCAAACGACCTACTGCAACATTGAACTGGACAAGGAGAAACATAAATCCTTTGTGTACGCTGTGAAGAATCACTACTGGTACCAAATGTACATCGATGATCTTCCTATCTGGGGTAAGTGGATGTATGGCGTTTGTGTAAGGCATTCAACCAGTGGAATTTTGTGTTCAATTATTGGATTTAATTGTACAACTTTCATTTAACTCAATGGTTTAAATGTGCACATTCATTTGTATATTTTTTGACTTTTTAATTGCGTATAAATGAAGAAATGCAAGCACTGTTTGGCAGATATTGTCATTGATTTTAGCACGATGCTCATGGGAGTTGTGAACCAATGTAGGATGGATACTGACACTTCCGATTAGCACGGTTGGCTATGTATGGTGCGAAAGAAGTTCAACATACATGAGAACGTTCATTACTTTCCATGGATATGTACACGATAACTTCTTGACTAAGCCTGCTGGCCTTTTCTTGCATCTATCTCACTGTTCCATTGTGTTCCCTGTTGACATAAATTAGAAATCAAAGACATTTTAGTAAAAAAAAACTGACCGAAAGCCCGTGTTGCTGACATTTTACATTTAAAACCACCAAATGGTGAGAGTCTCCTCCGTTCGTTCCACTGATTTAACCCTTGGCCAGGAACGTGAATGGGCGGTTTGCGATGGCTTTCTAGGCAGCCAGGTTGCACAGGGCGTGACTGTGCCGACCCCGTCGTCTTCTGTGCGTGCAGGCATCGTCGGTGAGGCGGACGAGAACGCGGAGAGCCAGTATTTGTGGACGTACAAGAAGCTGGAAATTGGCTACAAAGACAACAAGATAGTGGATGTGAACTTGACGAGCGAGTCCAAGGTCAAGCTGGTGCCCAACACCAAGATCCCGCTATCTTACTCCGTAAGGCTGCTCTCGGTCTATTGAACTCGCTCTGCGTCCACTGTTTTGATTCCTGTGTTTTGGGAAAACGGTGATACACGTGGTGTCGGGTGACGGTCATTGTTGAATTCCTTCATTTTAATCCTGAGGTTCCACCCAATGCTAAACCAGATTTTCATGTATGGCAAGTTTGGCAATACCTGACTTTTCATCGCCCTTTCCCCTGGATAACTGGAGTTCTCACGCCTATAACTCCTGTTCGATGGGGTAACTGCAAATGAGCAGTTGAAAAGATAACTGTAAGAGCGATCCATGCTCCACCAACCCCGGATATCTGAATCCCCTGATAACCAGACCACAGATAACTAGAGTTCTGTTATGTTTTCATTTAACATTTAATATGCTATTTGAATTACATTGGTGTGTTTATACCCTTGCTAAAAGTGCATCTACCATGTGTTTATTTTCCAGGTGAAATGGAAGAAATCTGAAGTGAAATTTGAGAGTCGATTTGATAAGTACCTGGACCCTTCCTTCTTCCAACATCGGGTACGGCTTTCTAATAACACAGGCACAGGTGTAGGCTACTGAAATCACACGGCACCATGTTCAAAACCCACGAAGCAGTACAGGCCTAGAGGATGTGTGTGTGTGTGTGTGCGCGCACAGCATTATTATTCTTGTTCACCAATCTAACAATGTTGAAAATGTGTCCTGGCTACGAAAGAAACTTTGCAACTGCATTATTTGTAAATTGTTATTAGGAATCATCAGTGCAATATAGGACTGGTATGCAACTACTACAGTGAGTTTTTTTTTAATTAACATTGGTCATCTTCATTATGGAGCACTTGGAAAACATTTACCCTTTGAGTTTTATTGGACAGTCTGAAGTTTGCTAGGAAAGGTGGCATTCCCATCGGACAGCAAGAATTCCTATCGGCTGGAAAACATGTGCGCATATGCTGAGACGAATGCCAAGCATTACGCGATTCAAGCATACCTTTCCATTGCTTCCATGGTGCGGTGGTTAGAGACCGACAGGACACAGTGGTTAATCCTCTCCCATGTTTGTCATTGACCTACTGGAGGCTCACATGTCTTTGGTAGTTTTAAGTAGTATACATTGATGACAATATATTTTGCACGCAACATAATGGAAATATGCCACAGTACTTTTGTTTAATGACCGGACCTTGGCCCATAGAGACTAGATCCTATTTTCATGGTTGGTGCCTTTGCTTTATTGCTTATTAGATTGTTTTATTTCGGGTTGCAAAGTGCACATTGAGTGAAGAGGGTTTTTAATATCCTTGGTAGACTCTCACACAAGGCTTTCACTGCATAATTTGCACAGCTTGGACAATCCACATCAATCTTAACCATCATAGCTATGAGAATGCTTCTTGTAGACTTTTGCTTGTTACTTGGCTTTGTGTGAACTAAGATGAGCTCTATGCAAAGCATTACAATTTGGTTTCATGTAAAGATATCTCGGGGTAGTTTTTGCAATGGTGCACAAGCATAAAATCAGAACTTACCACGTTAATCCTGGCAAGTTCACAGTGCCTTATGAACATAACATATAGTAGGCTAACACTTTGGTGAATGGCCACTATTCAGACTAGTTAGATTTACTTGCTGGAAATCCCACTGTGCTTTAAGTATCATGTCTAACAATAAGTCAATCTCTGCACCATTTCGACTCTTAAGGGCTGTTTCCTAAAATTATCGCTTGTGAAATATATGTTTTTGTTATAATTCTGTGTTTGTGATTTAATGTGGTAAATGCTTAACACTTGGGGTATGACAAGTCCAAAAGTCACACATCTTCAGAGTTCTGGCCATTCATTGAACTGACATTTCTGGGTTCATCTTGTAGTGTGCTAAAAACTGGACCACCACACCCCTGTATATTTATGTATATTGAATATTTTCCCTTAATTAACAGATCTGGCAGTAACATCACAGTTTTGACTCTGCAACTCTTAGCTGCCAGAGGGGAAAACTGGTGTGCCTTTGCTTCCGTGGAGCCCTTATCACAGTGTGGGGCCCTTAGGGCTTGTATATACTTGTGATAATGCCTGCTGACCCCTAAATAAAACTCCTGTTCTGCACTCTTGCATATTCAACACATATGCATTTACGCACGATTAATAATACAGTTTTAAAAATGCTTTGCAATACTTTATAGCGGACATTTTCTAGGATGAGATGGATCGAGCAAGTGAGCGAGCTGGAAGTCAGACCTGTCATTTAATGTATGCTGGCGTTGCCTTCCAAAAAGATTTTAAATAATCCTCTTGAATTGTGGATGAATTAATCATATGAGTAGTGCTGTGGTTAGAACACGTCGTCCATGATCATAAGGTTGTGAGTTCACATCCTGGTCAAGTGAGTTGACTTGATAATTTATATTTGAGCCATAGAATTAGTACCATTTGGCTAGTAATCAATAGTCCCGTAAGAGAGACTGTCCCCTGCCATAGACATGTGTAATTTGCACCACTATCTCCGTCAGATCTGCCGTTGAAGATGAGTGTGACCCTAATGCGCATTTGAACAGGGTAACCTTTTTACCTGAAATAAATAACATGTCATGAGTGCCCTTACCAACTTTAATTACAAAATAATGTCATGCTAATAGTCCTTGATATCATGTGTATAATAAATAACATATACGCCAATTTAATCCCAGTTGCTATCAGCGTCAAGGCAGTGTGAAGTTGTCATTCATCACAGTAATCCCCTGTAGACAGTGGTGCATCATGTCTCATTGGGATTCAACTCGAAAGAGATGCCAGACAATTGCTTACAGTGTCTCGTCAAAACCCATTCTCGACTTGACCACAAAATGGCAACTCCGTAAGCTGTCCGTGGGGGTGATGTTTTGTATTATCACGTCAGCTGCAGCACCTGCATTGTAACGATGCAAATTTCCCTAAGGCTGTATTCAGTGTTACCTGATTCGATCTATAAATACATGTAACAGTTCCTCAGCTGGAAATAAGAAAAGAACAAATCTAGTACAAAAGCAAATGTAGTTGAGATGTTGAACAGAATTTGTAATAATATTAATTCTGATGACCTGATTTCAACCATAAATAGTAAGCTATTTCACCTTAGTTGGCTACCATTTGTTCCAGCTCAGTGTTCTGAAATTGGTGTCGGCCCTATCCAGGCACCTCATTATGGGCTCATTTTGGCACCATCCACTTAATTTTTGGGAGCGGTCTCTAATCACTGTCCTTAATTTCCCTTTTGAAACTTGGCTGTGAGATGCCTTTTAGGGATCAGCAGTGTTTGTATATTGCACTATCATTATTTGTAGCTCGTTATACTTTCAGCGATTAATAGAGTATCGTTTTTTATAACAATACATATTTGCATGGCAAATTGCTTCTTCAAGCAATGAAGATTGAAATATCCAGTTGGGTGTCTCCTTGGTTTAGAACACTGAGCTCGTCATTGTGTGGATAAAATAAGTACCACTTTGTGTGAAGTCAGCAGTGGTTGCTCAATGGGAATACTTGTCCTCAACATAGGAATGTATCATTTCGCACCAATTGTTCAGTGCTTCCAACATACATGAGCACCATCCTGGGCCCATTTGAGCATGGATACACTTTTTGAGCTTGGTAATCGTGTCGGCTTATATCATCGTCCTTCCAATGCATCATTAACGCATTAATTGTTAGAAATACTGGACACTTAAAAAAGATGATTGCTTAATGTAGGCACTGCAGGGGTTTAGAAACCCTTAATTACGAATGGTTTAATACATTCACTATCCGTACGTTCTCCCAATGTTATCAAGGACCACACGGCTATATTGTTGGAAGATTTATTTTCTATGATCATTTCCCGTTTCTCATTTTAATATCATTGGAGGTGCACTCAGTCAGTAAAAACAAACCCAAATCTAGCAGAGTACCACATTCATTAAGCATAAGGTCAATGCTTATTTATGGTACAAACTGACTTCACTATGGGCTGTCATGTATACATTAACTATTGGAGCCCAATTATTAAAATTACATACGGCTTTTAAAATTCCTGTTTCATATATGTAAATAATATTCATGCAAAGCGAGGATTGTCTTTTGAATGTTACTTTATCAGAGCATTGCGCTTCTGTAATTGTATTTACCCTTCAGGGTTGTTTTGTTGTTTATCCTTGAGTGGGATTTGAACCTTGCAACCTTATGATTGAGATTCAAGCACTGATTACAGTGCCAACCTGCCAGATTAAATGTTCTAATTAGCTTCAGTAGGCTAATGGACATGTTAACCTTGCGCCTACGTATAGGATGATGGAGATGTGACAAATCATTCCATACAAAGCATGAAATAGTCCTCTCTTGTGAAGATAGATCTATAGTCGCATGTTTACTGCATTTATTGAGGTGCATTTATGAACACTTTTCATCCTATCCTGACTCCACAGCATTGCTAATGAGATATGCATGTTTCACGTATTTGTACAGCATTTTAAAGTGCAGTCACAATTTAACGTTGTATAACTTAAAGTTTTATTATAAATTAGACAAATCTAATACATCAACGTGGTCCTTTCATCACCACCGCAATCAATGCTGGAAGATGACCTCTAATCCAATCACTTACGGTCCGACAATGGCCCAAATCTTCATCACGCCTGCAACATGAACTGAACTCGTAGCGTAATTTCACATGTATGCACTCGTCCAAATGTGCACGCAAACATGTACACACAAAGACAAAGATCCTTCCTCTCGCCATACAGACTGTTGGGGCGAGTACTGTTAGTGGGCACTTAAGAAGGCCAGCATGACACGATAGTGGTGTGTGGCCAGAACCATGCCTGGTGGCCTTGAACTCCCCTGTGCTGATACATATTTAAAGCAGTCATCACTCCATCCTCATAGTGGCCATCTTGGGTGCATTATCTCCTCCGGCTGCCATTCTGTTGCTTCTTGTCCATCGATTATCTTGCATTCGAACGATGCGTGTCCCGATCAAGCCCACTTGTCTTAACAGTAAATATCACATTAGTTTGTATTTGTTACCTTACCCATACTATTATGTTACTAGTATAATAAATGTATTCTATTATTTCCTTAACCATGTTCAGTTTAAGCCTGAGAGTTAAATTATCCCTCTATATTTTACGTTTGAGCTTTTATTCCATTATTTCAGTGCTCCGTTGACCATTAAGCACGTACAGTCTTCCATGTGCCAAATAAAAATTGCTTCATTTTAATTCGGACTTCATTCATAAAAAACATCACGCAACTATGCATTTCCTTTACATATGTGCTGCTTTATATGAAAATGTTCAGAACATTGAGTGCTACAGCGAGGTGTAGAACCTACAGTGGTAGCGCACATTCAGATAATGTCAGCACCATTGTTGTTAACACTGCCTTTAACGGAACATTGAAGAAGAAAATGGCCATCGCCCTGTGGTGAGTTTTTTTTATTTCCATGCCTAACCTTAATTTATATTGTTATCTGAATTTGACTGCAGCTGCAGATGACTGCAGCTGCAGATGACTGCAGCTGACTGCAGCTGCAGCCTACATAGTAAGGATAAATAATTATACAGATGGCCTTACTCTTCCTAGAACCCAGCCTGCATGGCCTTCATTAAAAATGTTGACAGTGCAACTATTACACTTGCGGTTTATAAAAGCCTTCAAACGACTTTTTTCAAACGGCACAAAGGCCTAATTTTAGTAACATGGAAAGTATCAGATTTGTATTTATCCCCCTGAGAACTTACACTTGAGTTTGACCTTTTTTATTTTGTTTGGTGGGGTTAACACAGCATACACAGTGCAGTGGTAGATTGAGCACCTCAACTAATGTGGTGTAAAACAAATGTGTGCTTTCTCCAACTGTGACAATCTTCAAATTTAATAGAGCAGGCAAGATTTAAACGTTGTAGTTCATTACCGCTCGAGCTCTGTAGGTAACGGAGTGAGAGCCTTTTACAGACTCCCGTCGTCGTACCAGAGCTTGAGTTTTATTGCCGTCAAGATATTATCTTATAATAATGTTATATGGATTTCTTGAATCTTCTCGATTCACCTCGGCTATAATGAGTCAAGTGAGGCAACGGATGATGGTTTTTAACACTCGGCCAAACCTAACGGTGTGAAATTGTAGGCAGTGGGTCACTTCGGCTGTCGATACTTGCGACAAAAGTAATAAACCTGGAGCTAACATACATCACTCACCGATTACACAATAAAGAGACGAAACTTAAAATAGGCATGCCTGATTTATATGAATCGCCTTGGGACAATTAGAAAGCAAATCGATGCAGAGACTCGCGACGTGCACAGCATACCGCCACGTGTGCTCGTCCTGATTACTGCACTGCCCAATGCAACCATCAGTCATTAAATGTCCCATAGGTGTTCGGGGCTTGGCTGGAAAAATGTAACCAGCAACGCCCTTGGTGCATTGAACCACTTGTGTAAGATTTGTTTTGTTGTTCTTGGTTAGTATTGTATATGTTGGGGTTCATATCACTTATGCATTTTGCAAGAGACACTACAATTCGGTAATAAATGATATCCATTCCTTATTGAATAACGACCCTGAATCAAAACAAGTCACTGGAGGGTGAACCATTCCACACCTAGTATAAAGTGGATCGGTAGGCAAGTGGGTAGGGAGGTAGAATACATAGTAGGTAGTAGGTGATTTCCTGATTTTGGTTCAATCTAAAACATTCCAAAGATCAGTCCTCGATACAAAATTTCGGACGATCTATAAAATTGTTTTTGTTTCGGACTGATGCTAAATTATGACGTAACAAAAAAATACGTAATTTGTCATTTTATCATTTGTGAAAGGAGGATACCCAACACAAGTTTAGAAAACATCGATCCCCCGGTGATGTTAACTATGGCCAGGAATCAAACTCAGGAGGATCACATTCATATTGCAGAACAATAACCACTGTGCCCACCGCTCCACTTAGCATTACTGATGTATTTAGCAGTGGAAGCGAGCCCATTCCGTGTCGTATCCTTTGAGGATTTTAACGGTGCCAGTTTCTTCACAAGGAGCCCGTACGTAGGTTGAAGCACTAACCTTTGGCTCGTGGCCGTGTCAGAAATCGCATTCCCTGCTCACGCGCGGTGTGAGAGACCGTGTGCATGCAAATTCTGCGTCGCACACTTCACGTAACGCCATATTCAGTGTGCACATCGCGAACTGTTTGCTTGAAAAACGCGTGTCCCGCAGCGAGCGCTATTAAGCGTGTGATGATTGTTAAGGGATTTGTGCACTTTGGTTCCAAACAGTTAATTCTATTTCATTTTGTAATACCTTTATGAACACTTCACATATAATTGAATTATATACATTATGTAATGGGTGTAGCATTGTATTATTGATTCTTGTCGTATTTCGAATGCCGCATATTACTCTCAATCTGTAATTGCAGCCTTCTAAATAGTCAATTAATTTTCCGTTGGTTTTGTCAGCTCTGGCGATCTTAATGACAAAGACACTATCCCGTGCGGTCAAGCCTTGTGATTCACAGAAACCGCCTTTGACGAGCTACAAGATCTTTCCAGTGTAATACGTCATCTTAACCCGTTGCTCACCCCCCCCCCTTCGCTTGTGCCCCTTGTCCTTTCACAGATTCACTGGTTTTCCATCTTCAACTCGTTCATGATGGTGATTTTCCTGGTGGGGCTGGTGTCCATGATCCTCATGCGCACGCTCAGGAAAGACTATGCTCGCTACAGCAAAGAGGAGGAGATTGACGACATGGTGAGGATCCTTCCGCTCTCTGGACTGCACATGCCTGCCTTCTCAGTATTACCTTCTGGCTCGAAGGCAAGAAGCAGCCAAAAAAAAGTCGATGGTCTTTATTGTTATTGTCAAAACAACATCCGTCCATGGTGATGCAGCGTTACAGATCTGCTCGTGTAAATAAAAACGCCAGGGATTCGCATCTCAAGTCCCATGGTCACCACTGCCCTGTACATTTCCTGGGGAATTATCCAGTTGTGTTGTCAGCAGTAAAAAAAAATATTTTGAAGATGCGAAGTATAAAAGTAGTCTGCTGCATATTTGTATCGTTCAGATGCCAAGCGTGTAAGTACTTATCATCACATTGTTAATGTTATTATAATCTCGCCTGCAATATATTATAAAAATCATTGAGCTTTTAATTGGTTAAGAAAATTATTATTGCTGGGCATGGTGTTATAAGTAGTGCTTTGTCGGCAAGAGTTGACGGATCATACAGACTTAACTCTATACTTCGCACGGCTGAGGGGTGGCCAGGAGGTGGTGTTACAGGAGTGTGTTAATGAACCCACTATTGCAGACCATTGACTTATCTACTCAGACATGTTTGTCTTTAGGTATGCAGTATGCTTTCCTCCCAGTCTCAAAATACGCCTTGAAATGAGTTCACATTTTCATAAATGTTCAATGCAGACCCACGAAAAAGAGTATTTGAGGCTTGGTGAAGCTTTCCATACATATGTGTACACAAAATGAGTTGCTTAAAGATTTAACCATTAATCCCATATCGGTTTAACAGGTAGGATTTCGTGACCAATATCCATAAGAGGTTTTTTGGGTTAGATTGTGTAAATATAAATGCATCGTTAAAGCTATCACCATCTGTCACAGCCAGTTAGTAAGGTTTGTCACGTAAACAAAACATTCCAATTCCTTACTAGTTCAGCACACCGGTGTGCTGAACTGAACTAGCTTCATGATGATGCTATATGTAGTTACGGCGAAACATTGTACTCGAATTGTAAATATTGTTGGTTTACTCTCCAACACACCACTGTGCTGAATTTGTAACGAATTGGCATGTTTTGTTTACTTGAAAAACCTTACTAATTGGCTGTGTCAGGTGGTGGCGGGTTTAACGACGCTAATATTTATGCGATCTAACCCAAATACCTCTATAGATAATTCTAAATAAATGCTGTCCTCTGTAAACTATGCCATTGTTTATACCAACTGATAGTGATGCACACAAAACGCATAATAATTTGCTCTTATAAGGCAATGATTCTACAGCATGTGTTAACATGTATGTATGTATGCGCAAGGGTGAGGTTTTTATATATTGGTTACCAATGGCAGTGCGGCTGACCTGACTGAAACATGATACTCAGCGGGCATTAAGAACAAATCCTAATAATTGTCAAGCTGCCTTCATCCACCGTTCTTAAATTTGTTAAAATGTAACCATACTCTTTGGTTCTATTGGGTAAAGTCACGTAGGTAAAAAATGAAATACCTACGTGACTTTACCCAATAGAACCAAAGAGTATGGATCCTAGCAGTCACGAAAGCTTTAAATCTAGAAAAAAAAATGTGACCATGTTAACGTTCGTGCATTAGTTGGCTGAATGCACGAACATTAACTCCCATGAATGTTAAATGTGCTTTGTAGAATTTTATAAATGGTCAAAGCACTTTCACACTTGAACGAGACCTGAGCCAGTTACGGAAACTTCACATTATTTTGAGTTGGGCAAGTCAATATCCTTAAGAAAATAACTGTTGCCTTCAGACAACGTGGTACTCGATCAACCTTGGAGAGATGGTCTTGGTCTACCCTTCGACCAGCGTTTCAACTGGCAGCTTTCTGAATGTTACCCACTTGCTCTAAACCACAGAATCACTCGCCCGTCTACGTATTAGAAATAATAGATAACGTACATCCATTGCTATGTAAAGCCAATTGTTGCTATATTGGTGACAAATTATCTCGCACAGTAAAGAAATTGAGCTGGGTTTCCATCGAACCGAAACGTCTGAGAGATCATGTTGTTTAGCATTAGTGGTCGACATCACCATATCTTTGCAAACAAATTTCGACTAATGGGAACACTCACAATCACATGATTCGGCCTCATTGACCATTTGCTCTCGGCTCGCTCCGTTATTATTTGGTGCATGTGCTCCAAGGCTCCTGTTAGAGGGAATAGAATTTATTGTATTGCTGTGTGTATGGCGATTGTGCAGTTAGGCACACTCTTGTATATGTATGTATGTTGTACGTTATTGAACTTCTTTCGCACTGTGCTTATAAACATACCGGAGGTATCCTCTTGGGTTTTTGTCACTTATTAGATTGGCAGTTGTGTGAACCGTTGCCATTTTTACATGCAAATGTTATCAATTTAGTTCTATATTCTTAGTTTTTTCGGTAAAGTCACGTTGAAGAGAAACAACAAAATATTTTATTATTTTGTTGTTTCTCTTCAACGTGACTTTACCGAAAAAACTAAGAATATGAATTACTGCAGTCACGAAAGCTTTAAATCAAAATTTAATTTAGTTCCAGTTGATTAACATTTCTTATTCCCATTGGCAGCTTTTTCTTTGTATCAGTCGTTCTCTACGATTACTTTTTGTGAACACCAGTGTTGCTCAAGTTCCCTCTGCAGTGGTGATGCTCTCCATGCCTGTGGGTTATAATGCGCGTGACGCGACACAACATTGGAAATGGATGCAATTCCTACCTGCATGCACTTCGGCAGTGTCACCCAGGCACGCGGATGGGTTCGCTTGTGTTTCTTCAGTGAGGCTCGAACTGCCGAGAATGCCGGTCTTATTGTGTTACCTCTGAGCAATGTCCTGTAGTGTACAGTTAACGTGACTGTTGCTGCAGTGCTTTTATCTGGCTCCCAATGTGTGTGCACCTTGGTCAGGCGTTGATTTAAAAAGCAGTCTGGGATCACAGAGTGATGTTGCAGCATTTATCCAGAGGCGTGAACGATAAATGTTATAACTCCATTTAAAGGGTGACATTTGCCCGGCTTTTCTGATGAAACAGCATTTTAATGATGCGTGAAAAAAAGCATTTTTAAGAATGCAGCGATGTTGTGCAAAAGCTGGTTAGACCACATTTCTGAATTTTGTTGTTTGGCCTAAAGTCATTGATTCTGATTGACTTATTTCGCCCAATTGTGCTGTGCTTGCAACAAATGGTTTTGAATAAAAAAAAATAATGCAGAGCCAGTGTTTCTCTCCTTGTTAGACCACAGCTTCACAAAGTACAGAACTGTGCACAGTGGATTTAAGGAGAGACGTGTTCATATGCTGCTCGATGTGTTGCATTAACCCTCTTGGGAGCAAATGTAAATATTCTGCAAATGAAATACGACATTAAGCTCAAACTGCATAATGTATTGTCCGTGCAGCTGGCTCTGCACAAAAACACATAAAGAGCTCATAGAAAGCCAATATTAATCGAATTAACTTAAATTGGCGTAACACTGTCTATCCATCGCAAAGCAAAAAATGGCATCTCCATGCCCTCTGAATTAACGAGAGGAGAGTGGTGTCCCTGAGGGCCTTCTTTTGTAGCAACACATGCCTCTGCACCAAGCTGTTTTGAGGAACGGTTGGCAGCTCGTGCAGAGATCATGTGCATGATAACCACCCACACGACTATGTGGTGGTACTTCAGTTAGGCTGCTTGCCTCTGCAGATGTTGCAACCTGCGGCCAGTTACTCGGTGGGGCATATTTGAATAAAAGGCTGTTTAATAAGTACCGTGATAATAAGTGCAAAGCAATGCTATTTCATTAGTAACCTGGCTGACACAGTAAAACTTAAGAACCTCATTTGCTATGAAGAAGGGCCATTGCCCACAACATCACCTATTACAGTAAAACCTTGGATTGCGAGTAACTTGGTCTGCGAGTGTTTTGCAAGACAAGCAACATTTAAAAATAAATTGTAACTTGATAAACGAGCGAGGTCTTGCAATACGAGCAGTACATATACGCTTTGTTTGCCGAGCGTCACGTGATCACAACTGAGCCGATGGTTCTTCTCTCTCTCTCGCTGCGGGATTGTGGGTAATCGTCTCATGCTCAGTCTCAGTCGACGTGCCTCACTCGTATAGTCAACATCGTTGCGAGCGTATACTGTTTACTGTCGTCTTGTGACCACGTGTGTGTGTGTGTGTGCGTAAAGCATTTTTGATTTTGTCCAAGTGTAGTAGACTGTTCTTTAGTAACTGTACTGCAACAATGTCCCCTCCTCTCCTCTCTCTCACACCAGCCACGATTACATTTAAGTAATAAAATTGATTACGTTATATTAAATTTAAATAATAAAAATATATAAAGGTATTTTGTATTAATCATTTTTATATAAATATTTTTGGGTTGTGGAACGAATCATCTGACTTCCATTATTTCTTATGGGGAAATTCGCTTTGATATACGAGTGCTTTGGATTACAAACACGTTTCCGGAACGAATTATGCTCGCAATCCAAGGTTTTACTGTATATATTTTTATTTTCATTTTTAAGACAGTGTAAATGATGAATGTGCTAAGTTTTTGCTTTAATCTCAGGTGGCTGCAGTAACTTAGAATTGTGGCAGGTCCTTCAATTTTTTTTGTTGTGCACACGCTTCAAATGTTCATTTTTCCCAGCACAGATAACTATATAACCTTTTCATTTTTAAGCCCATTAGAGATTTTATGAAACATTTAGTGATTTTTTTAAGGTCATTCAACCAATTGAATAGTCTTAAAACATTTTAGACAGTCGCATCGGTTATAATGAGACCACATTTGAAGATATGAAGTCATTTATTTGTACGTTACTGCAGACAGCTACGCAATGCATAAAGATTTGAGCTCTCAATCAGAAGGTTGTGAGTTCAAATCTTGTTTGGGAGTTGATTTTGCCCATTATCCCTTTTTGGGGTCAATAAAATCCCAAATTAACGTGAGGCATTCTGCAGTGGCGCTCTGGATATACTCGCCCCCTGCCATAAATAGTACATGAGCACTGCCTCAATGGCCATTTGGGTAGGAAATCACTTCGACAGAGACTTTATGCTGGGAGTTAAACTTACATCACAAATTATTGCATGTTAAACCATTATTACATTTGGGTTTTCACTGAATAAAAAATATATCTCTTGAGAATAAAAATTATAATTAATAACTGGTCTGACTGCCATGCATGTGGGAGCGTGTGCTGCTAGTGTGGATATATTTCCTCTTGAAGTGATCTCTGAATTATCTTCGTAATTACCCATCTTGGGCCATTCTCTAATCCTGGATATTTCACTGTTCTACGATAGTTCCGATTGGATATATCTTCAACTCACGATATGGCATCGAAACAACAATTTGAGTAACATTGTGAATTACATTATGAAAAAAATGCGTTAAACATTAATACAGGAGAACAGTTAAAGCCTTGGGCATGAATATCAGCAGATCGACCCCTTGAGGACAGCCACTCGCCTTCGAAGAAAAGTCCCACTCGGCAGCAAACCAGACCATTGGCCGCCGCTTTCAGTGTTGCTTATTTATTGCAAACGAGTGTAAAACACAGGCACACTTTTTATAACGCGATTGTTTATAGGATGGGATACAGTATATATTGTATTGTGACATGAAAGCTGCCGCCAGGTTTTATGAACGGCTGCAGGGATCATATATTGCCTGGGCTTTTCAATAACAGTCTCTTACCACCAGAGGGCAATTAATTAAAGCTGTCCGAGGAAAAGCAGTGGCAATGGTCTTGGGAGTTTGACTGTCGCAGGCAGCCAATGATCATTCGATTTAACCCTTGCATTGAACTCTTGAACGCAGGCAGATCAAAGCCATTTCCACTCAGTTGATTATTCGGAACGGTGCTCATCTCCTTTTTGCGCTCCTGGTTGAAATTCTACATTCCCATGGCAGGGGCCATTTCCCTCATTGGATGGTCACTGTTGACTTATCACAGTGTTGTACTAATGAAGGGAAGATGCAGTGATTGGATGCTTTCTGAAGATTTAAATTTGGCAACCTTCCAATTGTGAGTTGGTTAGCGTTACCAAAGTGTCGACTGGCTGTCTTGAATGTATTAGAGGTGAATGTAGCCATGTTTGCTTTGTGTTCCACTGAATTATCACACTGTGTGCGGCAGTGATTTGAGCACATGAAGGCTGAACTGCTGTTCGTTAAGAGACACTCTCGAGTGACAGTAACGGGATGGTTTGTGCAGTCGCGTTATTGCCGTTAGTGCCGTGAAGGGGAGGAATTCATGGCTATGGTCAGTGAAGCAGATTCATAGACGCTTCATTTGCGTTTTGAATTATTGACTGGTGCTGAGGTAAAGTGTCTTGACCCATCCATTCACGGGTATGCATCTGTTTGAATGCATTGATCTACAAAGCCCTTTTTTCAGTGGATTAAAGAAGGGCAAACCCAATAAAACTAAAAGAGCAAAAACATTGTTATCTGGCACTTTACCATCCAGAATGCTCTTAGCCGGCATCTGCCATAGGCAGCAATACAAATCTTCCATTGCGTATATGGAAAATTTCGCCAGCCATCCGGCATCCGGATACTGCCAAGTGGTGACGCTCGCCGAAGTCTGTACATACGGTACTGTACAACTGTATACCGTACTCTAAATGGCCCCACTGCTTCTCTACAATTAACTTCGAATGCTCTAACACTTACTGGTGAGTACTTCTGTAAAAGAGTACATTTCTCATGTTTTAGCTAAAATGTAGGCTTAGTTTATTTATTGAAAACTTTTATGAACGTAGAAAATTTGGTGAACTATAAGTGTGTATATATTTTATTAAGCGGCACTCTCCTTTCCCAATGGATGCCAGATAACAGAGCTTTTGCTGTGATAGTTTTTCCTTAGTGCTATGTTTTCCGAACTGCCTGACATGAGTTTGACACTTATACTTGCGTGACCTCACTCCTGTAGCTTTTAATTTCATATCAATGCAGTGAGATCAATGGAGATTCATTTGAAAGTCTACTTTTCTCATCAGCGATTCTTCATACTTGGGCTCCCAGCCCAAGACAACTTACGTAATATCCATCTCATACAATTGAAGAGCAGAGAATAATTCAGCTTTGAATTCAGGAAAAACCACACTAATGTGCAGCTAGCCAGGGAACGTCACGGTCTGTTATCTTATTAGCCGTCTACAGGTGCCTGCAGGGTGTGCTTTTTTATAATACCAGTGGCACTCCGTGCACCGAGTAGGATACAAACTGCGTAGGTAGTGTGCACCACAACCTGGTAGTCGAAACTTGTTGGGAAAAACTTTGAATGTTGGAGGCAGACTCCTGCTTCTCTTTGTACTAGGCAGTCTTTGGTGAGTGAGCCAAAACGATAATACACTAGACTTGGGCATAGGAGCCACGTCCAGGACTGCGGTCGTGCTGGCTGTAATGTTGCACTCGGAGCCCCCTGACGGAGCCACCTTACCTCTTGATGTAACGCCCACGCTGCTGCTGCTGCCACCGCTACGTTAACTAACGTGGGGACCCGTGCGTGCGCATTTGCGTATGCGTGTGACCCACTGCGTGGCAGGAGCGGGACCTGGGCGACGAGTACGGATGGAAGCAGGTGCACGGAGACGTGTTCCGCCCCGCCACCAACCCCGTCATGTTCACGGCACTCATTGGCTCCGGATCACAAGTCTTCTTCGTCTCCCTCATCGTCATCGTCGTGGCTATCTTCGGAGACCTCTACACCGAGTGAGTGCATGCAGATCGTGGCCGAGGATTCATTGACGCGATGACCAAATCACTCGCCGGTACACCTGATATTGTCAAGGTTTCGGAAGATTGAGCAGGCCTGAGCCTTAATGTTTGGATGGGGAGAATCACTGCAATGCATAAACCTGGTGTTGTAGGCTGCTGCAGGGCTATGTTGTGGGCAGTGCATAAAATTAATCACTGTGCTCGACTGTGGCTTGTTTGTGCTCCTCACACCTTCACCTGCTTGCATTGACCATTGGTGAAATATGGTTAAATTACTCCCACAACCACATGGTGTAGTGAGGGCCTCTTTCATCATTGGGTTGAGACATAGGCTGTACATGTTCAGTGATGATGTCCTTGGTTAAAGCCAACCCAAAAAGCAAAGAAAACCGTTAACTTGTAAATGTTAGCAAGGCTATTTTGGCATCTGTCCACATGCGTTTGAAGATTTTTTATAAAAAATTTAGTTCACATCGCTTCCCAACTTCGACCTCCCTTCGACTTCACTTAGATTCTTACGCAGTGTAGGGGGATCCTATTCGATTAAAACTTTGGGTGTAGGTGGCACGTATAGAGTCGGGGTGGAGTGGGGCTGGCAGAGATCATGGGATCCAAGTGGACACGACTCAGCCCGGCTCTACTTAATTTTGGCTCAGGCCCCAGCATGGGTCTGGTGAGCATGCAAAAACTGCTCTTGGAACCACGAGGAAAAGCAAACTTCACCTCCCCCTGCTTTCTCTCACTTGGCCATTACTTGGCCATCTGTATCCGTAGAGGCCACTTAGTTTAGACTCGCAAGCCATCGAACGTGGGATGGTGGTCCCGCTCATTGGCAGCCCCTAAGGCCGGTTGTGGAAAGTTCACAGTTCTCTCGTTGTGACCAATTTCTCCCATGGAACATTCATTATGGTCTCCTCAAAAAGTGGTACATATTTTAGTAACCCTGGAGGATGTTGCACTGAGTTGACTGCCTTGCTAGGATTTTAACGCGCGACCTTTCAAATGTCAGGCGCTCTTAAGTGCTGCTTTGCCCAACCAGATTGAGATCTCGTTGGTGTTGCTGTTTTGCTGCACTGTGAGCTTTCGGCTTGACCTTTTGAGCATCCCAGCCACCTCCCTTTCAAAGAATCTCGCCACTGGACAGAGATCCTTTCTTTCCACTGTCTCTTGCAAGACAAATTATAATCTATTTATCTAAATGATCATTTTTGTTCAACTTAACATTATGTTTCAGTCTCTCAACAAAGCCATTATTTACACTGCCACATCACACGTGACGTATAAATAAATAAAAAATGCCCATTCTTACACGTGCAATTTGATACTTGCGCCTTGAGCTTACGTCACACCCATCGTGTCCATGTACAATTGCTTGAGCGCGCGGTGTGACTCCTGCTTCTGAGGGTGACTCTTTTTTGTTCGGCAGGCGAGGCTCCATGCTCAGCACGGCCATCTTTGTTTATGCCGCCACCTCCCCCGTGAACGGATACTTTGGAGGGAGCCTCTACTCAAGGCAGGGAGGTAAACGCAGTTAAATAAGCATGCTTTTACAGTCTTTGGCTGCTATACATTTCGACAAGCCACTTTTGTTGAACTATCATTTGTTCCCAGGTCGCTTCTGAAAAAGAGCTGTATGTAGCTCACTGGGCCTTACCTGGTAAAATAATGTTATATCGTGTGTTTTTAAGCGCAAGACATGGTGCTTTGGTGCCAAGTTGATCCAAACACATAATACTGCCCAAGCAGAAAAGTATAACAGGTGACATTTGGCAATAGCCATTGTTCACAGCACATAAAGAAGACATTGCTCATGACATTACCTGTTCTATACTCTTCCTTTTGGAACAGTGTCATTGGTGGATGCGTGTTTTTGGTTGTTTATGATTGTGCACCACTCTCAGTGTAGGATCACTTCGATTTTTGTTAAACAGGCGACGTGAATATGCGGCAGCGCTGATGACATAAAATGCTGTCATTGACTTGAATCTCGAATCGAGGCGACCTGAGTTTCAGTAAAATTGAGGCATGGGTACTGTTTCTTCTGTATGAGGCAGAGCTGAAGTTTCAGCTTTAAAATAGTTGTGTGCGCTGTGTTAAGTGCATATAGATCTGTAAATGCATAGTGGTCGCAGATTCAGTCCCGTGTTCTTCATTGAATAAGAAGTTTCATGCATATCTGGAGATGTATTGTTTTTTGTGACTAGATAACTTTTGCATTGAAATTATTTTTAAAAAATCCTTATTTCAAGTGAATGTGTTTAAGTGTAACAGCTTGATATATTTTTTTACTTAAAGGCAAATCGCATTTACAAATGTCTTGTTACTTTTTAACCAGTCTTTGCGTAAACGGTCCATTGAAGTTGGCTATGTGTCTCGTTGTGTAAAATGGGAACAGCAACGCCCAGCACAGCAGTATCTTCAAGTTGAACCCAACAATCACGGAGAACAAAAACAATCCATGATTTGGAATCTCTCAAATATTGTTATCGGCCCTTACATTTGCATCCTCGCCATTCAACAGAGCTTTAATGAAAGTTAATTTCAGTCTCTTATTTCCACTGCTACGTAACCTTTCACTCCGCATTTAAAGGACAAGATGATTGTATTCCCAAGTCCCCCATAATTTCCAGAACCGCTACAGTGCCCGTTGCATCTGACGCCTCGCGTGTGAGGTTCTCTAACAATGGACGTGGATCTGAGCCGGAGATAGGATTGTCCAGGGCGGAATAGGGCGTGTGGGAATTGTGCGGGCCGATAACAGAGTACGGATGCACTCGGGTCATTTCAAGAATATCGGATTTTTTTTTACAGAATTCAAATACAACGTCTGTATGCAAATGGTATTTAACTGTTTGCAGTGGTAAAACATGCAATAGCATTTGTATGTTGTTTATTATTGGATATTTTCTTTTATCGCTCGAGCTTATTTTAAGAATGTGTATTTAAATACACACCAGAACACCTTGTGCTTGGAACACTTAACTGGCATTCGAAGGTCATCCAGTTGATAGTCATCTCATTCCATCAACCTGCAGAGCAAATACAATTATTGGTAATAAAGGTTTTTGGGTTCGATCTCATTAGCTGTCATTTTGTCAACAAACTAAAATGAAGGTATGCCTTCATGCTGTGGGGTTTCTTATCACGCAATATACATGTTTGTATTTTACACCAATTTAGGCCTCGACTGGGTTAGGATATTACATGTTGAAAAAACTAATTTATACCGCAGGGATTTTTGTGCGGTCATTGGTGAGCGTCTTGACAAACTTCCTTACTTATACATGTGCGACAAGTTGATTTGCTTTATTTAATTGTACTGCTTAAAATGATATTCTTTCCTGTATCTACACATTCAAATGGGTGTTGGATGGTGGTTAATCTCTATTGGTGGTCCTGATTCGGTTATAATAGATTTTACATTTGCAGCAGCAAGCAATATATTCATACGACCACATTATTCTAGATGGGACAAGAACTGCTGTAAACTTCACAGCAAGCATGTGCTGTTATGGTCCTTGAGTCAACATTCCTGGAATTGCTCTGATGCCGATTTGATCTTGGCTGGCATTTAAATAATAATGTAATTGATTTTGCAAAGCCTCACTGAGCATGAAAACATTTTAAGATGTTCTGGATTGGAATACCTGACCTTTTTAAAGTATTTTTTCACCTGGGAAAAAAATAGCTGGACTTCCTGGATGAAACTGACACATAAGAGCAGATTGTACACAGAGATGGGTCCAGCTGGTTTGAAAGAATGGTGTATCTTCTTAACCTGAGGTCCTCAAATTTTGGGTGCTCTCCAAGCTGAATTCTGTTGTGGACATTTATATTAATATTCAGGGGAAATGTCACTTCGCGTCGTTTTATATAGCCATACACCGGTTTTAATCTTGGTTGTGTGCCCAGGAGTCGTACCCGGGATCTCGGCATTGCTGGCTCTACAGTGGTGTGAACATCGGAGACTGCTCCCAGGCCCATTAATACATCTAACGCTGCTCCCATCCTTGTGATGTTGCAGGACGCAAGTGGATAAAGCAGATGTTTGTCAGCGCGTTCCTCATCCCGGCCATGGTGTGCGGAACCGCCTTCTTCATCAACTTCATTGCCATCTATTACCATGCGTCTAGAGCGATACCGTTCGGCACCATGGTGAGCTTCGAGATGCGGGGGGGTACAACGCGTAATGATTTTTGCAAGCAAGGTTGACTTCAAGGCGATATCACTTTTTCAGTTGAGGAGAAGTTGCATTCTCCGATGTTGAGTTGCAAACAACCTGATTGTGACTACAAGGCGTTGGTAACAAGTTGACAGGGCTTTAGCAGTGTTGAACTTTATTGTCAACTTCTTGAGCGAAATGGTCGGACGTATATTGATGCAGCCTGACAGTCAATAGGTTCACCGTTCAGGTTAACGGCGCTGGAGGTACACAGCACTGTCGTTATACCCTACGATGTGGGCAGTGGATAAGAGTTTCCCTTCTCTCCATAACTGATGATTGGTGGGAGAAGTTTTCTTTATGGCAGCCAATGACACATTCCACAGCATCTTGAGAGGCGGTCACATTTAGACGCTTTATAAATCCAAATCGTGCTGTATTCCTCATGCTTGGACTCAACAGAAAAATAAGCAGCTGAATGCTCTGTAGCATTAGTGCTGTTAGCGAGCATCTATGAAGGACTACACAGCACATGAGGGGGTGGGTTTGCCAGCACCACTCCTGGCCGCATTTGTCTCCCTAGTAGTGATGTTTATACATCACACCAGGTATTCATTTTAGGCATAGTCGACCAAGAGGAGACCCAGGACCGGTTCAGATAATCGTCATTGATGTTGGCCGTAGGTGGGAATCAAACTCGGGTTGCTGGGTTCGTAGCGCAGCGCCCCAATCGCTACCGCTCCCTGCACCCAGATACACCAATTCTGCACTGGCACACACCCGACACTGACACACCCCCAACTCCGACACCTTACTTGGACCTACACGCAGCACAGATGCACACACCATACACTGACACGCACCTACTGCATTATACACACCACCATGACTCGCACACGGTGTTTTTGGCTATGCCCTTGCATATTAAACTATTGTAGCTTTCATTTTGCAGTGCAATCTATCATAATATAACCTGCATGAACTGCTGCCAAGCTGTTACTTTGTTCGCCAGGCAATCGATGTTCAAAATCCGATTAATTGTTTTTTGTGGAGGCTTGTGGCGTGTGTGTCACTGCATTCTTTTTACCAAGCCCCACTGTTATTCCCACCATATTAATCCCGTAATTAAGTTAACGTGTAGACATGCTTTGAAGAAAACCTATCCGCACACTTTCACAGCTATTGCGTACATATTCTGTGATGTTATTTACACGAGTTGGTCATTGGGTAATATGTCATGGCCATGTTTTCCCAACCTTCTGCCCATATTTGACTGGGCTCCTCCACTAGAGGGGGTGGAAGGCCTTCCTAGTGCACCCTGGTTATAACGTCTGTTACTAGAACCCTTTGAGACTTTTCATCCCCTTTGTAAAGGGGATATCCATGACTATGGGGGCGCCACAGTGCCGAGATATAAACTACCTTGCCTGGTATGCAGGTGGTCGTAGGTTCGATCCTGACCCTGACACCTGTATACTGTATTTGGAGTGTGCATGTTCCCCCCATGGTCGTGTGGATTTTTCTCCAGGTCCCCCGGTTATTCCCTCCGCATTGAGAAACATGCTTTTGAGTATTTGGCGGCTATTAATTTCCACATAAGCCACTTCGATTTAAAGCTTTTGTGACTGCAGGAATTCATATTCTTGGTTCTTTCAGTAAAGTCACATAGAAGGGAAACAATAAGATAATAAAAATATTAAACCAATAAAATTCTCACGACGTTTCGACTGCAACACAAGCAATCATCATCAGGTGTTTTCACACCTGATTTTATATTTGTATTTTATTATTTCCCTTCTACGTGACTTTACCAAAAGAACCAAGAATATAAGCCACTTCGTTGAGCTATCATTTGCGGCCAAGTCGCTTCTGAAATGGAGCTATGTAGCTCAGTGGATATAAGCTCAAATTAACTTCTCCCAAGGGGGTGTACAAATATCCAACTTCAACTGTGATACTATCTAGCGAGGTGGCATTTTCGCAGTCTGTGGTATTCGCTGCCGAAATGCAAACGGCATAAGTTTTAGATTTAAAATGTTTGCGCAAGTGCACTCCGTCAGTTGGATTTTTGTGTGTTTACTTGTGAATGCTAGTGCTCTGCGCTTACTGCACTAGTCTAGTTTGACAAGTATTGTTTCCCACTCTTCAGTGACATTTAGACTCGATCCCCTTTGCAACATAAACGTTTAGTAATTCTACATGGACACGTGGGGATTAAGGGGAGAATTGAACTTGGAAGTGTGGCCCAGAGGTAAGTGTCTTTACAGGGATCCCAAGGCGCCCATGAACACTGATGGATTTATCGATTTACGTGACGGGTTTGTTGATTGGTTGATTGTGAATTGACATGCTATTGTTTTGCTGGCTGGCAGGTGGCGGTGGCGTGCATATGCTTCTTTGTGATCTTACCTCTGAACCTGGTGGGGACCATCTTGGGCAGGAACCTCTCGGGGCAGCCCAACTTCCCGTGCCGTGTGAACGCGGTGCCAAGGCCCATCCCTGAGAAGAAGTGGTGAGTTGAGAGAGTGGGTGAGAACAGTGTGAGTGAGCATTGGTGTTTGGTGAGTGATTAGCAGTGTGGTTGAATAAATACGTGAGAAAGTGAGGTAAGCCGGAGAATTGTGTGGTGGGCGGGGAAGTGATGCCACGGGGTTTTGCTTACTCAGTTCAGTTTCAGTTTCTTTATTTTGGTATAGCCCTGTGAGCCATTTGGCTCTTGAATCTGGTGCAACTACAGCAAACAAAAAAACAAAAACACGAACAAGAAAACATCTTAAAGTGACTATGTGACTGTGCAAACAGAAAATCCATGAAAAAAACAGCAAAATATTCCTGAAAAAAGCACCGTACACCAACGCCGTGTGAAAAAATCCCAGTGGGATGCAAGTCAAACAACAACAACCACAACCACAAGACAACTAAGATTAAGGCCATCAGTCTAACTCCGTACTACAACAAAACAAACATGTCCAAACCAAAAAACGTTTTCGAAATCACCAAAAAATAAAGCCATAATTGTAACGTAACAGTGATCATAGGGACTGTGACCGAATTTTTATAATAAACTACTGCACTATGATCCAATGGATCTCTACGGTGGCAAGATGTTAACATCCTCGCTCGGTATACAAGAGGTCGTGGGTTCAATCCCGACCCTGACGCCTGTATATTTGGAATTTGCATGTTCTTCCTGTGGTCATGTGGATTTTCTCCGGGTCCTCCGGTATTTCACTCGACATCTAGAAACATACATTTCGAGTATTTGGCTGCTATACATTTGCACACGCTAAGCCACATAATTGAGCTATCATTTGTGGCTAGGTTGCTACTGAAAAAACGCTATATCGCTCCATGGCCTTACCCAGTAAAATCAAATTTGTTTAGTTTTAATAAAAATAATTTAATCTGGGTTTGAATCTTGGATATTCATTTTATCAGGTTTACACTACTTGGTGCCATGCAAAAATATTATCAACAGCAAAAATGAAAATTGACTGCATTGCGCTGGCCACATCTCCCCATTTGTGTAACGTGGTGGACTTTGTAGTGTTCACCAAAAGCACTTGCCCATGTGGTCTATGGCTTAATGAGGTGGGTCTTTTTTCGTGTACATCTGAGTTGTGAGTGAATGACATGTTAGTAGGTTGAGTGAAATGCAAGCTAAGTGATTTAGCGTCAGTGAGTGAACGTAAGTTAGAGGCTGTAAGGGTAATAATAGTGCGAGAGGATATGAATGAGTAACTGCAAATAAGCATTGATTCACGGTGTTAACATTCCCCATGCGTGGAGAATAACATTGTGATACCACATTTATTCGGTGAATATTTCAGATACTCATTTGTAACAGGAGGTTCTCGTGTGCCGTCAAAACCCAAATCCATTATAAGGACATGACCACATTTAATTGTAAAGAATACATTGCATAGTTATGATAATGTCTCATGCCTGCTTTTCAAAGACAGTTTCATTGGGTTCTCTGCTTGGGAAATAAAAAGACAGTCAATTTATCTTGGGAGGATTACTTAACTGATAGATTCATTGTGTATTCATGCCACATAGCAACAGCATTACATTTGGTTTAGGAACCTTGGCATAGGTTCTGAGTTTTGGAAACAATGTGCAATTAATTTTTTGCGAAGCCGAGCCCTCTAATCTTCCAAAACAAGCATGCGTGGAATTGCAGATTGAGCTTGTTGAGAGGGAAATGGGATAGCTCTGAACACGAAGCCAATGTCTGTTTGCTTCGCCAGTAGAGGAAGTGCACAGAAATGGGGTTTTGTTCTTTCAATCCAAGGACAGTTATTGGCAGAATTTAATTAATTAACTAACTGAGAGATTGAGTGGTGGTGCAGTGGTTAGCACACTGCGCTATGAACCTGGAAACTTTGAGTTTGATACTTGGCCACAGCTAACATGAATAGTGAACTAAATCTGAACCGCCCCTGAAACCCTGTTCTCTCACCCCCGTCACCAATCACACTGAATAGTATGGTGAAGTATGGTCAAACAAACCCATATCCCCAAAAGGCATGACTCGCCTTTCGCTCATTTTACCAATGCAGTTTTCTTCTGTTTCTCTGGCTCGTTTTATCAAAACATAATTGTTGGTGATCAGTTCAAATCATCAGCTCAATTTTGGAATGAAAGTCACCTCAGTCTCTGATGCAAAATATACATCCATACAGACAAATCAAGATGCAAGTCTGTTCGGTAGATCATGTTATAGTAAATCATTGCTCTCCTTATTGTTTGATATCTTAAAAAACCTCGTGGTCTAGAGATTGGACAGGCAGCTTGGTCATTACCTAAGTAACGCCACACGCGCGCCACAAGCCTCCACAAAAAAGTCCTTGGCGCTCATTTTTTATCTCTGCTGTAGAGATGAGATGAACAAATTATCTTTTCTTGTGTTACTTATTAGTATAGTTGGCGTTTTTTGTGTGCAATGTGTGTTTAGCACAGAAGCAAAAGAGCCTCACATTAAAACATCTGCCCAATAGGACACTAGAAGCTCCTGCTTTCCGCACATTTTCTTGTCTGGAATTTCCTCAATATCTCTGCGGATAAGTTCTGATATAATTAGTGAATGAATGCAAATTGAATCACGGAGAAAACAAAGTGATATTGAGTAATAGCGTAATGATAGCATATACTAAACTGACGGCCACAATATCTCACACGCTCAACTCGCTCACACGGACAGTAAAAATGCGCCCGTGTTTTGCCTCGTAAGCGATGAGGAATTCCTGCTCCGGAGTGCACAGGAAAAGGAAAGTGGCTGGAAACCAGGCAGGATGCACTCATGTGCGATCATGTGATGTGCACCAAATTTGAGGAAACTCATTTATGAAAATGGAGGTTTGCGGCCCAGGTACGCGAGGACCAGTGTGAGCAGCGGTTTGTTGCAAAACATGAACTTCAGTATTGTTATTATGAGACCTCCTTTGTCAGTAACAAGATATAGAAATAGGTTTTACCCTTTTAACTGGCACAAAAACTGACACCTTTATTCAAGGCATCATGTTTGCAATAACCACAACACAAGCAGTCAAAATGCAAACAAAAAAGACAACTCTGATAATAATATGCACTTTTGGCGTCTTCTGGTTCAACACCAATGGAGACTAGGCTCTAAGAAAAGCCGTCTCGGGTGTGGATCAATCAAATTCAAGGACAGTGCATATTATTATCAGAGTTGTCTTTTTTGTTTGCATTTTGACTGCTTGTGTTGTGGTTATTGCAAACATGATGCCTTGAATAAAGGTGTCAGTTTTTGTGCCAGTTAAAAGGGTAAAATCTATTTCTATATTCAGTATTGTTATTTGCTGGTTCTTTTTCTGTGTTCTTTGGGACAGAGGCTTTGTTTGATGTGATTGTGGCTGAGAAAAAGTAATATTCATAGGATTCCAACGCACTTTTAATTAAAATAACGTGTTATGTATTCATCTCAATTTTTTGTTTTAAAAGTAAAAAAATAGATTCAATATAAGGTGTTAGGCACTTTCATAAATAAGTTGGATCTTAGTGGGTCTTAATCGGGTTAAATAAGTAAATCGATCTGCAAAAATAATTAATCAAGGGCTTATTTTTTTTTTGTTTAAATTTTTCAGTTGAGCTTTTTAATATTTCCAATCTTCCATGGGAAGAGCACAACATCACACTCAGCCCACACCGACCGTCGTGGTTACTTAACTATGTTAGTCGCCTACTTAAATACACTGGCTCATGTCGGTTGGTCAATGGGGGAACCAGGACTGAATCGGGGTACGACTCGCCCCGCTGATGTTAGTCATGGCCAGGAATAAAACACGTAGTTTGGAATAAAACTCGGTTTGATTGCTGGAACACACCGCATTGGGTTCACAGTGCGGTTCACGGTGCGCTCACCACTGTGCCACTGCTCCCCCATTCAGTAGCCAGAGCTTGTTAACCAAACATGCACAAAACAATGTAAGCGCTGGTCATTTTATACATGAGACACAGGTCTTGTACAATGCAAATAGCGCTTGTCAAATAAATGCTTGCAGAGGAGTTTAACACAAACATGGGGTTTTTTTTCCCTCTGTGCATAAGTAAATTTGAAAAGGTTATTCAAACACTGGAGTGGACTTTTTGTTCACTCTCAGACAATGTTCACTTCCTCCTGCATGAAATTGAGGCCATAACATTTTTTTTTCTCAAATCTCAGCATATTTTTTGGAATGAGTAGATTTTTTTTTTACATTTTCTGTCGATGCCACAGCCAAGAATATCCACGATTCGAGCAAAAGTGCAGCACGAGTGAGGCCCTTTCCTGAGGTCGGCCTCCTTACCCGTCCGTGCGTCCACCAGTATTGCGGGCAAAAATAAACGAACGCTTCCTCAGCGAGGCCCATTAACCGCTTCCTATTGCCGGGTTTGAATTGTGCAGCGTGCAAGTCCTTCCGCCCTTCACGATATCACGTTTCCAGCATCCATTTTGTCCACTGTCAGTTGCTGTCAAAACGAGTTGATAAATCTGGGTCTTGTTGCATAATGAGAGCTCGGATGGATCGGGTGGAAATTCTTTAAAAGGCAACCAAAATAATTCATGTAAACCTCATGTTTGTTGCAGCGTTGGGAAGGTAACTTATTACTCATTCGAGCACTAAAACCGGCTGAGCCCTCTCCCCAGGCTTCTGACATCTGATGAGGTTGGGTTCATTCAAGGTGGTGTTGTCATCGACTAAGACTTTGATCAGTTAGCCTCATGGTAATTTAAACAGGGAGACACTTTGACTTGTTTGGCTCTAAATTATAGGAATACAGCATTTGTAATGGCAGGAAATTGATCTCGAAGAACTTCTGAATAAATATTGTCACTGCAGGCAAGATGCAGTATTTATTTCAACGATCGTACCATACGGCGGATTTGTAAAACCGACTCCTGCCTTGAAAAGCACAATGCTGTCCTGTCAGCAGTCCATGTCAGGGGTGCTAAGGATCAGAGACATCATGATGACTGGGCAGTGACACTAGTGTCAAAAAAACAACTAGAGAGCACACGAAGAAGTGCAGAAGATGAATGCTCGGATTGCCTTGGGGACAAGAACAGTAACGCAGAGAGGCAACAAGGTTGACAACCCATTCACTATAAAAACAAATGAATGTTGGCAGGATGTTGTCATGAGAACGCATTATAGGTGATGGATAGCGGAAGTGATTGGATCACAGCAGCTGAGAGGCAACGCGGGCAAAGAAACGAGAGATGAGGTGCATTAATTAAATCGCAGCACTCACGGGAGATGGGAGATGGATTGCAACTATGCAGTGGTGTCAACATGAAGAGGCTGGCAGCCAGCAAATGTTTTTTTTTAAGTGTCCTTGCTAACATTGTTAAAATCATTATTTTCTATTACCGGTAACCAAATGAGAAGAGAAAAAATCGCACGGAGAATTGTCTAAAGCAATAAACATAACATGTATAATAATTGGCAACTAAGGGAGCTGCTGTGATGTAATGGCTAGCACGCTGGACTTACAATCCAGAGGTCACTGGTTTAATTCGTTCTGCTGGCATGGCAGATTAATTTATGGAATATGTTTTCTTAAATACCTTCCAGCGGTATAAATTTGTGAACCAGTTATCAGGTCACGTGTGGTGGGGTGAAGTGTGGGTATGCTGAAAATGTCTGCTCATTGTTAAAGAGCAGAAAAAATACCCACTGGAGCCCCTTCAAGTGAAGGCTCTTCTGTGAGCAGTGGTGCAAGCAAGCAATTTAAATATTTTACCTTTTAACTCAGAAATTTAGGCAAATGGACTTAGGCCGCCATGGTTTTTTTATGTTCGCACTTGCCAATCGGTGCATTCATTTACTCAAATTCTACTCAGAATGGTGACTAGTTCCTCACTTTCTGAACCGGAAATCGATTCTGACAATGGTTGTCGTTTAACAACCCTTCATTCAAATTTTTGTCTTCTTTAGTAGTCTCGAACGAGGTATACAACTCCTATGAGGGGGCCAGTCTCTATGAAGGAACAACAGCTATTCACTTCCAACAAAATGGGACTTCAGAGGGATGATTAACAGTCAACCTCTCACTTTAATTTGAATTCAAAAGCTCATCATTGTGATTCACATGCTCTAAGCACATTGAATAATCCCATCACAGCCAGTGTTGCTGATACCACCGTATTGCTTGGCCTACTTGTGCCGTTTAGACTCTTTTAGTTGGACCTGTTTGGAACCCGGAAACTGGACTCTGCGCAGCTCCATCTGAGCAGGGAATTATTATGACTGTTATCTGGCGAAAACTCGAGTTCCCGCGTTAGGTGGAAAACATACTTGGCCATATTCTGTGAGAAGACGTGGTTTACTTAGCCTTTGACTCTGCGCGTCCAAGGCTCTTGCACACACTTCCTCTTGCATATTTATGCTGGATTTGAGTGACATTTTTTTCTCACAGGCTACATATGTCCGAGTTAAAGAAGTCAATATGTGAGCACTGCAGCGGATATTTATTCCACACGAGTGTTTTCCAAGTGTTTTTTTTTGTACTCCATTGGTAAACAGTAATTTTTGTTTTGCATGTCACATTGTCAAACCTGTAATTACAGGCAATTGTAGTGCTGTTTTTGATGTTGCTCTGTGCAGGTTATCATGTAACATGCCTCTCTTCATCTCATGCTCTGAGTGTTGATGCCCCCTAATTATGGTAGCGATGTGATTATCACCAGTGCCACGATCTAATTATAAGATAGCTTCAACAACACTGATATTATGTCCTCTCTCACTGTCAGTTATTGAACCATTTTAAGCAATCGCAATGTAACTGAGTCTGAGCAAAGTGTAATAAGGCCAGACAGGTGTTCAGTCTGGCTGATGATCTATAAGCAATTTTTCCACCGAACAGCACTTGCATTGAATATGCACGCACGTACAAACAGTATCATTGCCAGCTTGCCTAGCTTTTACATGACAGTGCTTCCACCCTCATTGCCTCAAATGACCCCATTACAAATGCCACATATTAATTTAATGTAAAGTCGAGGCTACAATTAACCCCTTAAAACCAATAATGCAAGTTTGAAATATTATCTTTCTAACCATGTATTTGTCGTTGACATGTATGTATGTAAGTTGAGCTTCTTTCGCACCGTACATGGCAAACCATGCTATTCGGAGGACATGAAAGCTTGTAGTAAATAGTTGCGAGGATCATTTTTTTTCAGGTGAAGTAGATGATTGTCGGCGTTGGTGCGTCTCAACGCTGGCTACCGCTTGTGCTTTTTCTGCAACGCAGGTTCATGGAGCCCGCCGTCATCGTGTGTCTGGGAGGCATCCTTCCCTTCGGCTCGATCTTCATTGAGATGTAAGTGTTTCCACACCTGCTTTCCTATTCCCTTTATATCAGCAGCAACCTTCACATTTCTTATTCATGTGCGCTGCATTGTTAGCCGAGTTTCTCCAGATTATCATGTGAGGTGAGTGGGTGGCTTGACGGGCTTATGTGTTTTTTTTCCCGGATGACACTGCTGAACTGGTGAATCTAAGATTCTGGGTTGAATGTGCGTGGCAATAGTGCTCAACTTTATTGGGTATGTAGTTGAGTTCAAATTATGGTCATTGCTTGTCAAAAAGTCAAAGTGATTTCCTGCTCAAATGGACATTGAGCCGGTGCTTATGTCCTGTTTACAGCCCTGACCCAGTGGTGAAAATTCCTCATTCCTATGGTGGGGGCAAGTCTATAATGATAGGACTTCCACTGCTGACTTCCTACAAAGTGGTATTCATTTTATTTTATCATCCCCAGAGGGACGATGGGTTGAATCAACCCCCAGCCAGGATATGAACTCCCGACTTTTAAATCGCGAGCCGCTTGCAAACGGCCATTGATTGACACGTTTCATTATTCCTCGGGGGCTGATAAAATAGATACTACTTTGTGCAAGCACGAACGTGGTCATCCTATGGAGATAATTGTCCTTGCCGTTGGGAATTTGGAATATCTACAACTGCCTTGGCTCTGCTTGGTTTGGGGAGGTGTGCACTGTCCTAGTATCTTTTTGAGCAGGAAGATGCCTTGTATCCTTTTACTTAAAGGTTTAAGGTCTCGGCCTTATAACTAATTACCCAAGGCATACCATTCTACAGTGTGCTGCTCTAAGTGCCGACACAAGTTTGGAACTGGCTTTTGTAAAACGCATTTTGTGCTTCGGTATTGTGTGATGGGTATGGAGGGGAGAGGCCATTGACCTGTACAGCCGAGAGAAGTGCCGTGTCGTGGTTTTGGCAAACGTACCCTTTCGGAGAGACCACCGGAAGCACTTGCGAGAGATCTCTGCCACAGCCTCTTTCTACACGAGTCTGGGTTGTGAGTTAGGCATCAAACAAGTACAGTGCGGTAACTCCATGTCAGCAGCTGGTCGGGACTTTGCTATAAGCATCCATGGAGGAGATTACGCAAAGCTGCTTCTTCTGGTGTTGCTCTCCCCAGTTTGCTTCTTACAGAAGTTACCACAAGGTGGCGATCTATTGCACTAGAGAATTGGAGTTGAAGAGTCGATGTGTTTTTCCTCCATCGATGGCACAGAGCCAGCGGTGGATATTGCACATTGCTATGGTGGGGTCCAGTCACCCCATAGGACGAGTGTTCACTTTTAACAAGTAGTCGTCTTTTAATTGACTCGTGCTGATGGTGAGATAACTTTACAGATTTGTGCTCTAAATCTTCAATTTACTGAGCTCCACAGAGCTGGTTAGATATGCATGCAGTCATATATACAAACAATGGAGATCTTTACTTAGCCTTTTCATAGGGATGCACCAAATTTTGAAAGGGGAATCTGGATAAATTTCGCCAAAAATGTTACAACAGCAAATGTGCAAACGTATTCGGTGCTTTAAAAAATAAGAATAGGTTTTTACCATTTCTGGCAATTAAACAGTTGTGTTAAGATGTTCTAGCACCAAATAGAAACCTTTTTCAAAGAATCGTCTGCATTAACGACGCGTGCTTGTGGTGAATATGCAAACAAATATGCTCTGATAATATATGCCATGTATGAAACTGATTGGCCGACCTACACCAGAGACATCCTTCTTTCAGGCCTAGTCTCACCAGTCTCAGACCAGAGAACGCCAAAAGGCAAACAGTACAAAGACAATGCACTATCGGAGCATTTATAGCTTGGAGTGAGCTGCTACAAAACGGGACCTTTTTTCCAGTATCGTATGAAAAAACAAGAAGAGGTTTTACCCTTTCTGGCTTGTTCACCACAAGTACGTGTGGTTAATGCAGACTTGATTTCTTTCCAAAAGGTTTCTAAAACCTATTATTTTTTCATACTTTGATACTGGCAAAAAGGTCCTATTTTGTATTCAGTGCTTGCATGCAAAGGCCTCTGTTAAAGCTCTGCAAATGGTAACGCATGTTTTATGCGCTTACATTATTATACGCATCTACTGTATGTAGCCCTAGCCCCCAGAGATTGCCAGTGGCCCAATTTGGTTTGAAACCAAATATTTAAAGTGGATTTCATGCGCTGTCATTGGCCACCAGGCAGACACACGATCCAATTTGCCTTCTGGGACTCTAACTCCCCCCAAACCTCACCCATCACGAGGATCAGTCCTCTAAAAATCGAATTAGCCGTTCCCGGCAGCACCTAGCCATCAATTGCCAGTTGCATTACAGGGGACAATTTAATACGGAGAGCCCGGGCCGGTCTTTGACAGGGCTCATAAAAACACATTTTCGTCTCTGTCGGCACATCGTGTAATAAAGATTTGTCAAAAGGGGGGGGAAAAAAAGCAAACATTTTGAAAGTAAGTCGAGGAGAGCGACTCTTCCGCTCGCCCTCCTGCCGTGGCCCTAACAAAGCACAGTGTCGTTCACACGTCTGATTGTCTTTGCGCAGGAAGGCGCCAGCTTTCCACAGGCAGTGAGGACATCTAAGGGTTGTTGATTTGTTGCTTTCTCAGGGAAAAGCCATTGATTCTCACGAGAGCACTCTGTTACGACGTGCCTGCCCCGGGCGTCATTGTTTAACGCTGTTTGCATAACGATATTATGAGCATCTCTGTAAATGTGATCTCTGTTGTTATTGTTTGTTTATGAATAAGTAAATACCTTCTAAATTTGCTATCCATAACATTCTCTTTAAAGATGGCAACGCATCTAAGTGTCGACTCATTTAAGATGTTGTTGATTAATGTCTTAATGGCCCAAAACTACATCTAAAGCCATTAATTCCAACATTATATTGCATCGGCCGTTCATATATTGGCGTGCATTTTAAAATGTATGTACGTGCTGGTTTTTTCTATCGCGCATCGTTGGCACAGGTCTTGAGACTCGGGCTTTAGAAGTTTATGATGGGCAGTTATGCTTTTGTTTTCTACGGTTTTGGCTCGGTTCTTGGTCCCTCCAGGGTTGATGAAGTGATGAGTACCACTTTGTGAGAGTTTAACAGTTGACTGTCTTAAGAATAGTGGCTCCTACCATGGGGGTGGCCTATCATTGGAGGTGAAAATTGACCTGCGTTGGTTTGAGTGGTGAAAATATCAATGTCGATTTAGATTTGACAACAATGGTGCCCATCGGTATGCGGTGGTGACATTTGAGTGCAAAGTGTAACAGGCACGGGTGCCTGGCTCATAAAAGTTGCAGCCACTGAATTCTACCGACTGTTTTATGATTTTTTTCAATGGCCTGCCACTCAAAAGAGCGCGCAGAATCTGCCATCGAGTTCAACCGGCTGTTTTATTGTGTTCTCCATTGGGTCGTATCGAGTAGATTATTCATGTTAGCTAACACGTTCCGATAACGCGTTTGTTATTAAAAGCACGCAGTCGGTGAGGAAACACTCTGGGATGTAAAGTTTGCCAGATTAAAGCCAGCAGTGGAAAAACATGAATTATTTATGGGTAGAAAGCGTGCCCGTAGATGGCGTGTCCTGGAAACTTAACGTGCACATTGCTGGACTTGTTTGCACATCGTGGCAAATGCTCATCCTCCCGCTGACCCTTGCCCCTCTTGCAACAACGACCCACCTTCCCGTGTCACACCGCTTTCCCCACTCGCACGTGAATTAAATGTTGATTCGGCTCATATGTTGATTTTTTTTATATATATAACGAGCACTAGAGTGATCTAGCAGAGTATGCAAATGTACGCATCTGGGTGTGTTTGTAAATGTTTGGCCTGTGTATTTTGTTTTTGTCTTGGTTAAAGGGGGCGTTTGGTTATTTTGGGGTGTAAATAGGTTTGAGGAACTGTCGATTTGTACGCTCGCTATGATCCTTCCGTTCACACCGTGAACTATCTCAAAACGATGGATCTTCAAGTGGTGCTCTTCTCGATTGATGGACTTGAGCTAGTGGTAGATAGATATTCCACATTTTCATAGCACAGACCTCTCTCTCCATTGGACAATCACCAATTATTTCCACAGAGTAATCCTGATTTGTAATTGACCATGGAGGAATGATAGGGTCGAGTCAATGCCCGACAAGCATTTGCACTTGCAAATGTTTCTAGATTTGAAGCTTTCGTGACTGCTAGGATCCATACTCTTTGGTTCTATTCGGTAAAGTCACGTAGGTAAAAAATAAAATAACAAAAATCATGACAGCACGGTCCCTTCACCTGATGAAGGCCACTTGTGTTGTGGCCGAAACGTCGTGATTTTTGTTATTTTATTTTTTACCTACGTGACTTTACCGAATAGAACCAAAGAGTTTGCAAATGTTTCTTTAGATTGCGTCCTCGGATAGCTTAGTCCTCGCAGAAAATTTAAAAAAATTTGCTTTGTGTTGTGAAGAAACATCTGTAGGGTTTGCCAACTCTTCAGCGAATGGGAGCGTAGTCACTGATATAAAAAAAAAACTCTAGGTTTTTACGACCAAAATGTCTGGACCACCTACCCAAGGACATCGTTGTGAATTCAGAGTGATGGCTGTGTGTTGTGCGTTATATGTCGAAGAGCTCATGGATCTTTATTTGTAGCATTGCATCCGAGTGTCGGCGGGCGCTTGTGCCTGCACCCCGTGCTGCACTGGGGTCGCTCCGGCCCACACCACTTTGCGTTCTTTCCCCCGCACAGGTACTTCATCTTCACGTCGTTCTGGGCGTACAAGATCTACTATGTCTACGGCTTCATGCTGCTCGTGCTCGTCATTCTGTGCATCGTCACAGTGTGCGTCACCATCGTGTGCACCTACTTCCTACTCAACGCCGAGGACTACCGCTGGTTAGGAGCGCATGACATCGGTGATCAGCATTTGGCTCGGTCCTACAATCCACACTTTGTACCTCCCTTTCCGCTGTACAACCGTGCCAGGGTCGTTGTGATCGGTGGCCGGCTCGACGCAATTTGGAAGCCGCCGTGTTTGTTTGTTTTTTCAATGAGAAAAGCCAAGCCGTGCCTTTAGCGCAATATATGCAAAAAAATGTAACCCTGGCCCTACTTGGCCCAAAGCCGGATTGAGATGTCTTTTGAGGCCAAAATTGCACGGTTTTCTTCTGGCTTATTTTGGAAAATTGTCAGTGGCAAAGCCACCCAGACCATTAAAGGCCCCGTGTTGGTATAGCTCGGATGTGCCAGAAGAAAGGTTGAGGCATTCCGCTGCCTTCAGAGACTGGCTGATCTGCATGTATACATAGATTTTTGTTAAATTATCTCCGCTCCTACACTGGTATGGCAAAGGGCTGCGAAATGTGTTTTGACAATGGTTATAGTAGGTATTTGAATAAGTGAAATGGATCTAGAAGTTTGATATATTTGTGTTATTCATGTCCAAAGCACTTTTCATAACGGTAATTTAAGCGAGCATGAATGAAGTATACTCTTTGGTTATTTCGGTAAAGTCGCGTAGGTAGAAAAAATATAATAGATCACGACGTTTCGATCGCAACGCAAGCAACCGTCATCAGGTGTGAAACAAACACAGCAGGAGGACTGCTGACGTAGGAGAAAGAGCTGCTGCAACAAGAGTTTATATAGGATTTTGGTGGGCCCAACCCAAGGGTAAGTGGGCGGAGCTAGAGAAGGAATTTGTACGTAAATGTGAGAGATTAGCATGTCAATGTGAGACGGCCCAGCCACCGGAGGCGTGCCAATGAGAAGATTAGCGTGGCAATGTCAGAGCCAGGCAACAGGAACAAAAAACCCTAAGAGCAAGAGGTACACACGATGAGAGGGAGACAGAGAGACACACACACAGAGAGTCGGAAATAACAGCTGACATAGGCAGGTAGGATGGAAACGTCAGTCAGTTAAGACTTTACCTGGTTAATGACGTCCTTCCAATGATTGCTCAGTTTGTACCCATCCTCTCGGTTGAAGTTGTGTCTGTTTATATATCTGGATGGCTTCATGAACAAATCTCTGAAGGTAGCCAGTAGGTTTTCAGACTACCTCCGTCTTGGAAAAATCAATTTCGTGTGAGCCCACAGCTTTAAAACCATGGATCAGCAACGGCTGAGGTATTGGTCCTATCGTGTTTCAGATCTGCCTTGTGTTCATGAACACAGTCCGAGACATGTCGTTTTGTTTCCCCAATGTAACTGCTGCCGCAACCACAGCTCAGTTTGTAGACACCAGGGTATTGCATGTCAGAAATCACATCCTTTACAGATGGGATGACATCATGGATTTTGTGTACTGTGTTGAAACGAACCTGGATCTTGTGTTTGTTTAAGATTTTGGAAATCTTTTTGGTAACCAAAAAGATTTCCAAAATGATGTAGTACATGTTTTATAGGTCATTGTGCATGTATATTTTAGCAGTGCGTTTAAACATTGTATTTAAAAACAATTTTAGAGTAATGTTTTACATCTATATTTACAAGCGCGCATATGTAGTAATAAGCCTCTGTGTGGTGGGTTGCCTCTGTGTGTAAGGAGTGGTCACGTAGCGTAGTGCTCGGTGCACGCACCAATGAGCCAGCTGTGTGCTGAGTCTTAAGAGCATGAGGCTTCATCTCCAACATCTATCATCTACAGCAACTTGGGCATGAAAGTCATATTTGCATTTCGCAGCCGTTGGGTGCTGTCGTCAGGGTCCAAATTTGCCCCAATTTTAAAGTTGCAAGGAATAATTTACGATTGTGATACATTTATGGAAAAAAATGTGAACGTCTGAAATATGTAACCATATCAAAATGAGATGTTTACATCTCGGTGAATGTGCCCAATGGGAATGAGTGAAATGTGTGCCATTCACGTGAATGAAGCTGCAGGGTGACTGAATGCTGGAGCCACAATCCCCGTTTTTTTTCCTTCCAATTATCCCCCGGCAGTGCCCTCGGTGTCGAGCAGGCACAGAGCGAAGGTGTCATCCATCATGGAATCCCCAACCCACACAGCCCCTCGATGGGGAATGACCCCGCACAGCTCACGACGACTATATCTGCTGTAGCTCTATTAAATCCTCTCTGACCACAGCTACAAAGCTTTGCTTATTTAGCCGAGCGAACGTGCAGTTCACTCTATGGCCGTGAACCAATGTTATTAAGACATTTTGGTTTGGGATAACTTAAACAGCGAATGAAATGTATTTCTGTGATTTTGTTCGTTGATCATTGACCAGGCTTAAGCCACCAAACTCGGCACTCCTGTGAACCCACGTTTATCTCTTGGATTCGAAGCCAGTAGCTCGACTCCTCGGTGCTGTTAAACAAGCGCTCGCCCCCATGAGATGGGCATATGTCTTAATGTTGTAAGCTTGCTGTTAAAGCAGATTTAATCATTCTGGTTGGTCAGCAATCAAACTAGTGGTACTACTATTTGTACATTTGTATTATCTGAAATATGAACACCTAAGGCTTATATCAGCAGATTACCTTGGAACACACCATTCATCTATGCAGCCAAACAAACATTACCTTGTCATTGTCATATATTGAAAAGAGACGGTGTGATTCTGCGGCATCCTCCAGGGTTATTCCCCAATGCAGCACCAAACAAACCCTTCTCTCTGTAGGGGTGGGGAGCTATCCATGATTGATTAATGCTCTTCTCTGCCTCCATGCCAATGGCACATTTGGGATTTAATGTTGAGAAAATGTAACCTGTATAATTTTAAACCTGATATCCAAGCTTACAAATGACAATGCAGTTTTACGTGCATAGTTGGATATGGCCCAGGGATTGGTGATATTTAGGAGCCTTTGATTATTACATTGTTTGAGGTTGAATGTATGGCTTGGGGAGAAAGCAGCATCCTCATAAACTGGACATCTCAAGGGTGAACCTCCTCGGGCATTCTCAACTCGATCCATCTCTCCATGAAAATGAGCACACTTTGTACTGCACCGCAAGTCTCCTTTCATCTGTGAATCGGTGATGTACTCTGATTATAGGTTGAAGTGGTTTGTGTGGCCCTTGCTTTTACAGGCAATGGACAAGTTTCCTCGCGGCTGCTTCCACATCTGCCTATGTGTACATGTACTCCATCTACTACTTCTTCTTTAAAACAAAGTAAGTTTTCTAAATCTTGAAATTATTTTACCAGGTAAGGCCCGCCCACTGAGCCGGGTTGCTCTTTTTGAGAAGCAACCTGGCGATAATCGATAGCTTAACGAAGTGGCTTATCACGTGGAAATTTATAGTAGCTAAATACTCTTCACGCTTGTCTCTAAATGTGGAGGGAAACATTTTGAGGACTCGGAGAAAAATCCACGCGACCACGGGGAGAACACGCCACACTCCAAAATATACAGGCATCAGGATTGGGATTTAACCCATGAACACGTGTATACCAGGCGAGGTAGTTAACATCTCATCACCGTGGCATCCTATTTATGTATTTAAGATATTGATTTTTTTATTCCTCATCACGAGGTGCAACATGTTTTTAGCTAACTGTACGTTTGGAGCGTTCCAAGGCTGCTCTTAAATGTGTGTTGCAGCTGGAATGCCTACAGCGCACACCTTCTGAAAGTCCACACAGTAAAGCAATGTGCCAGGACTCCGTGGGCAGCCCTGAACCATCGGGGAAATTAGAAATGCCTCTGTCGAGCGGCAGTCTGTGGGAAACAAACCATAGTCATACCATGGATAAAGTGATCTTAACTTATCGACCCCTAAGATATTTGATCTCGTATCCTTGCAATAGCGAATCAAACACTGTAACCACAGCCTCACCTGGTCGGGTGTTTTGTTACATACACAATAAATGCATATACCAGTACTATTTTGAAGATTTTAAATTCATTAAGTGCAGCAGCTGTGAATGTTTTGAGTGTCATTCTACACAGGTGTGTGCTTTGTGTATCGTATGCATACAACACCGAGTGTGTAATTTACTTGGTGGTTGGAGAACTTTATGGCCACTGGATGCACCACCAAGTCGTACACAGTGCGCTGTTGCATTCCTGCTACTGCCCAGTTATTTATATTTGCAGTTTTAAAAAAATGTTGCATCTCCTGCAAAGGGAACAAAAATTATATATATTTTTGACAATAGCAGGTTGTTATCGGCTGGTGTTCTAACAAACAAAATTGGAACATTACCTACAAATACATTGACACAGTTGCATGTAATCTGAAAGTGATATTGATTTTTAAACAATGTAAAATTACTACTTTTTTTTACATTTATGAAGTGTTTATAGACACGCGTGCGTTTTATGCCCATGCATTATACAACCGGGCATCTTGTTAATATTTAATGTTGAATGTTTCTTTTCCATTTTCCAGGATGTACGGCTTTTTTCAAACCTCTTTTTACTTTGGATACATGGCTCTGTTCAGCCTCGCTTTGGGAGTGATGTGCGGTGAGTGTTGGTGGCACCGCACCTCAGCACATCGTTATGCGCACCCTTGCATTGTGACCAACCCCCCCCCCCCAAAAAAAAAACTTAATGCGATAGAGAATACAACAAGCATTTCATAAGCTTGTCGGGGCATTTTTGAGAGTTCAACCTCCAGGGAATTGGCTCCCTGCTGCTGTCTCAGCTGATAGGTTGTTGTATACAAGGGAGAGAGGATCTTGGCATTTTTCCCAAAAGAGGGGAGGAAGGAAGCCCCCCCCCCCCCCTCCTCTCCCGCCTTAAGCACCCACCTCCCTCCCCCACTTCACTGAACACACAGCGTTAGTGAGAGAACAATGGTCAGGGCACGGGGAGCCAAGCCGCCAGGGTCAAGCCCAGTTTATCTTGGCCCGCTCTGGGGAGGCAGTGAAAGTTTACAGTCGGGAAAAGTGTGTTGATACAACGGATGCAGGTCAGTCCGTGAGAGTTCCTGCGCAGATGTCCCCGCTCTTCACGAGCGGCCGCGCACGCAAGCCCTCGGTAGAGCCAAGCCTGGCCGACGCTTTTGCCAAGTCAGGGCATTTTGCGAGTGGACATTGCAGGTCGCCATCTCTCAGCGTAGAGGAAAAATATTAAAGTTCAGAAGTTACCTGGCAGCTCGAGGCTAATACCGAGTCAGAGCACTGAGCCAGCACCACTGAGAGCCTGGGTTCCGTCTGTATTTCAGCCATCCTTGAGTTAACCAGGTTTTTAGCAGTATGGCTAGTTGATGATCTTATCCCGGTTCACCAACAATTACAAATATAAATCCTTAAGTTATTTTCTGCAGGACATGCACACAGGTATGCCACCTAATGTTGGTAGGAGTCCTTTTTCAGGGACCTGAGAAATGGTATTGTCATCTTCCAGGAGTATTATATAACACAACGTGCTGCAGCGCTAGCTTGCAAGAGCTCCAAATATAAAGTAATTGATTAAATTCCTTGACATTGATAGCAAAAAATATTTAAAATATGAAAGAGTATCGTCTTTTCAAGTGAGCATGAGGCTGTGCGCATTTCTGAGTTGCACTGAGAAAGTGGTGGAAATTACGCTGGTGGAAGGGACCTGTATGCCAAACTCACCACTCGGTAGACTTCCTGCGAAGTTATACTCTTATTTTCTTCTCTGGTGGCATGACGACTGCATCAATTTTCATGAAGTGGAGTCCTTTTTTTTGTTCTACAAAAGCTATGAATTATATAATTTGATTAATATGCATTGGTCTTTAACAGAATCTGATTGATGGTGTGTGTGTGTATAGTTAATGGTAGAGGGGTGGGTGTGATCTCAATGATGTGTGGTCTGTGCACTTCACCATACTGTACCAGCAATTCTGTTAATTTCCTGGCCATACATGTGACTGACGCTTGACATCGACATCAAACTTACTACACTCCACACCAGTTAAATTTCCTCAATTAGAGCTTATGGCTCTACCATTCAGCAGTTGAAGGTAGCTAGCTGCACAACCTTCTAATCTGCAATGTCTCAATAGGATCTTGCCAATATATATTTTTAAAAATTTACTGGGTAAGACCTACTGAGCTATATAGCTCTTTTTCAGAAGAGACCTGGCCACAGATTTTAGCTCAAAGTGGCTTATCATGTGGAAATTTATAGCAGCCAAATACTCTAAAAAACCGAAAAATATCAACACGACCACGGGAAAGAACATGTAAACTCCAAAGACACAAGAGGCGTCAGGGTCGGCATTGAACCCATGGTCTCCTGAATACAAGGCGAGGTAGTTAACATCTCGGCACCCTGGCGAATGTAACCAGGCTCATGTGCGTCATAGTTGTGTGGATCGGTGGCAGAATGAGTAGCGCATTGATCCCCGTTGACGTTAGTTCAATCCCAGGCCATGCACAGCATAATCTACAAGTTACTTTAAACAAAATATAACTAACAAGTGATATCTGAACCTGTCCTCGAGCTCAGCTGTTTTAAATCCGATTTAAGTAATTGGCGCGCTGTGTTACCATCAGTACAGAGGAGACAAAGGTGGCTGTGACTGATACTGTCCACTCCGTCATACAAATGAGTGGGTGTTTAGTTTGTTGTCCTTCCCCCGCACCTCCATTAGCACAGTTTGTAATGTGCAATGCGAAATAAGTTCTACAGACATAAAAGCCCGAATAGGTGCTCGCCAATAGTATTTGCCCCCTATAGTTTATAAAGCTAAATGGGGGAATGTTTGCTCTGTCTTTGCGTGCACATGTAAATTGTGATTAATATGCATCACGATGATGATGATGTTTTGTTTGTATTTTTAAATAGGAGCCGTTGGCTACATGGGAACAAGTGCCTTTGTTCGGAAGATCTACACCAATGTGAAGATAGATTAAACTATGGGATTGCCCACTGACGCATCTGCACCAAAAGAATTGAAAGTCTCGGCATTGTACATCGTATTGAAAATTGTTGATGGTGTGGCGCTAAAATTGACCTCATCACAAAAATCTTGTCACTTTGCTTTTGTCCTGAGGGCTGATGCAAATGACCTGATGGTTCACAGAGCAACATCGTCAGTCAACCAGAAGAAAACCCCCGCATCTCTTCAGTGAAGAGTGAACTGAGTCGCAGGAACTCTACCTAATTATCATCCAGGAAAGAGGGAGTAATCCTAGCAAGAGTAAATATCCACCATTTTAGTTCATCATTTGGCATGCACTGGTCTAACTGTACAAATAAAACCATCAATTTCCATACCTATGATGTTACTGTATGTTGTAAACACGTTTCAGTGGTTGAACTTGACATTATTCTAAACAAAGTACTTTTTTGTGCAAATATGAGGTCAGGTCAAGATTGGACTGAACCATCCTTTTTCTTTTTATGTTGTGGGCAGATTTGTTTTGGTAAAGTATATAGGTTTCTGTGATGTGGCTTTTATTGATCTCCTGTTGTTCGTGTGAAGCAAAAGAGAAGAGATGAGGGTTAATGATTTAACATTACATAAGGGAGTGGGGATATATTTTAAAGGGTGCATTGAGAAATATTGTCATGTTGGCTTTGCACTGAATCTGGTTTTGTTTTTTGTTTTTTTTATTACTTGTACGAATCTGTATTCATTTTAAAATTTACAGTTACGTCATGCGACATCAGTACGTTTTCTTAGCCGCACTTCCGTAACGCCCCTGCAGTGGCCTGCAGTGACCACGTTTCTCGACACCGTTATTTCTCTCTTCCGTTATAGCTTTGCGACTGTGAACGCTCGGCGTGTAGATTATAACGGAAACGCAAAAGTGAAAAAAATATGCTATCAGGCAATGGGCTGTGCCATAAAGTGATTACGTTTCTCCATTGCTTTATGTAAATATTTACGATATTGTAGATGTTCATCAATGTTGGTGGTTTGTTGATTAAGAGTAGATTACAATACATGCAGAATGGTCCCGTTGTGGTGTGCTGTATTTATTTCACCACGTTCGTGAGTGTAACGCAAACAAAAAAAACCCAATCTGATTTCCATTTTCCCTTCATGACTTAATGTTACCAACATGTTATTGGTACATTGCACTGCTACTTAATCATGCTGCATATGGTGTGACGCATATTGGAACCAATGGAATTAAATCTCTTCGATTCCACAATAATAAAAAATCATTGATTTGGAATATGTATAGCTGCTGTTAAGAGCATTAGTTGTGTGGTCATGCCATGCATGCATAAGGGTGGTTTACGGGGTGGGTAAGTGCAGTACTGGCTGTGGCTCGCATTTCTTACAAAGCCACGTGCTGTTAAATTCCCGACCAGTGCAGAGCTAACGTGCATTTGTTCTGGCCCTACATTATAGGGAGCGCCAGTGTTTTGACTTTGGAACAATTTGGCTCATAACCACGTCTTTTCCATCTCTAATGGAGCATTTGATTTAGCCTTGGTTTTACAGTGTGCGTGTCAGGAAGTGGTTATTTAAATGTTACTTTTTTAATAAGAGTTATTTTTTAAGAAATTTAACATTTCTTGTTAGGCAGTTGGGGGTGGGTGGGTTGGTGAGGTGGTTGGCGATATTGAAATTTAAAACTTGCAGAAATGGTCAAAATGAAACATCTACCGTTTTACAACAGTGAATTGTACACTGAACACATGCACACAGTAATGCCAAAACTCGTATTGGCTGGTGCGTGTAGAATGCTACGGCCCACGTGTACATTATTGTTTGGTTCTTGTAACTTAGATACGTAGGAGTTGGCATGCAAGTTCCCTGGAACGATGAATTGTCTGTTTCCAATGCAACTTCACATCGTGGGGACTGCAGTATTTTCAGGCAGATCTCCGTTTGAAAAGCAGTGCACGTGGAGAGTAATGGAGCGCTATGGATATGTTTAGGTTTACGTGGGCAGGGTTAATCAAACGATTAGGAGTCTTCGTGTGGTCTAACTGGGTGGGGCACATGTTATATGCATTTATACAACATCGCGTGAATTCCCAGGGATTGAGTAGGCTGATGTGTTCGAATAACGCTCACCTAAACTAACCATCATTGAGTCAACAAAACCGTGCGAACAACGTGGAATGAGCAACCTCCCTTCAGAGTTGAATTGACCAGTAACTGATCTGTGTGATGTAAATTGTATTGTGTGCGCGCGCGTGTATAAAACACCTACAACGGTAGCGTGTTCGTTGACTGGCATCCTATAATCGTTGCGGCCGCAGTTCATTCCTTTGCCATACTCCGAGGCAATGTGTGATGAACCTGAATTCTCCAGGCTTGCATCGGATTCCGAAGCTGCAAAACAAACTAGTACTGTATAATTCTGTATATATGTAGTGGAGTGTGTGTTAGGATATACACGTACGTACACATGTTTAGAGATGTATGCACACACACTATTTGGCACTCGTTTGTAACATGCGAAGATTGAGCTTTTTATTTCCCCATGAAGAGTTTGTCAACTCTGTCAAGACATTGAAAAAAGTGACGCATTCGGGTCCGTCTGGATCTTTGGAGCATTGAATGTGATGATGCTATTTAGTCAGATTGTACAATGGGCCAAGATCCTTATTAATCGAATAGAGGTACGGGCTAGCATGTTTGGTACAACCTCTTAACTGGGAGTCTCATTTATTGAAGAAAAAGATGTTTCTGCAGATGGTGGTTATTCAGCCTTGGGAGATCAGCTTTGTATAAATGAAAAATACTGTAATAATTTAAAAATATATAATAAATTCCCATTTTGGTGTTCCATGGTGATTTTTTAAAATATATTTTTTACTTTCACCAGTAATTTGCTAACGTGTTGCCGAGTGTATATCCCTCATCAACATTGTTGCTCCTTGGTTTAACGCGCGCAACGGCAGCATTTCAGCTGTCGACCCCGAAATACAGCGAGGGAAAAAAGTATTTGATCCCCTGCTGATTTTGTACGTTTGCCCACTGACAAACAAATGAGCAGTCTATAATTTTAATGGTAGGTTTATTTGAACAGTGAGAGACAGAATAACAACAAAAACATCCAGAAAAACGCATGTCAAAAATGTTATAAATTGATTTGCATTTTAATGAGGGAAATAACCATTTGAACCCTCTGCAAAACATGACTTAGTACTTGGTGGCAAACCCCTTGACGGCAATCACAGAGGTCAGACGTTGCTTCTAGTTGGCCACCAGGTTTGCACACATCTCAGGAGGGATTGCCATTTTGCAGATCTCTGAATCATTCAGATGTTCATTGGCAAACTTCAGACGGGCATGTATATGTGCTTTCTTGAGCAGGGGGACCTTGCAGGCGCTGCAGGATTTCAGTCCTTCACGGCGTAGTGTGTTACCAATTGTTTTCTTGGCGACTATGGTCCCAGCTGCCTTGAGATCATTGACAAGATCCTCCCGTGTAGTTCTGGGCTGATGCCTCACCGTTCTCATGATCATTGCAACTCCACGAGGTGAGATCTTGCATGGAGCCTCAGGCCGAGGGAGATTGACAGTTATTTTGTGTTTCTTCTATTTGCGAATAATCGCACCAACTGTTGTCACCTTCTCACCAAGCTGCTTGGCAATGGTCTTATAGCCCATTCCAGCCTTGTGTAGGTCTACAATCTTGTCCCTGACATCCTTTGAGAGCTCTTTGGTCTTGGCCATGGTGGAGAGTTTGGAATCTTGATTGATTGCTTCCTTCTGTGGACAGGTGTCTTTTATACAGGTAACAAGCTGAGATTGGGAGCACTTCCTTTAAGAGTGTGCTCCTAATCTCAGCTCGTTACCTGTATAAAAGACACCTGGGAGCCAGAAATCTTTCTGATTGAGAGGAGGTCAAATACTTATTTCCCTCATTAAAATGCGAATCAATTTATAACATTTTTAACATGCGTTTTTCTGGATTTTCTTGTTATTCTATCTCTCACTGTTCAAATAAACCTACCATTAAAATTATACACTGATCATTTCTTTGTCAGTGGGCAAACGTACAAAATCAGCAGGGGCTCAAATACTTTTTTTCCCTCGCTGTACGTGCTGTTACTTGCTCAAGAGGGAACCCGTGTGTGCCGGTAGCATTTTTAACGACCACCTGGACATCGGGAATCGTCTCATACGAGCGCTCGTCCGTGACTCGCACGCCTTGGATTTACCGGAGTCGCCCGTTGCGTTCGTCCGGTTTCGAGGTTGATGGCAGTTGCGGTAAGTCGCTTTTGTTGAAGTGGAGGGGGGGGGGGGAACGGTCCAACTTTGTGCAACGACATTCATTGAAGCATTCATATCAACCCGCCCATCGACGCTGTTTAACGTTTCGTTAGGGTTAAGAAACATTGTGTTGAGACGTGAGGCAAGATGTCCCATCACATTGCCCTACATATATACTTGTATCTGCAATTCACCGACTCTCAGGCAAAACAATTGCTAAATCGGTAAAGTCACGTAGATAGAAAATTAATAGATCACGACGTTTCGATCGCAACACAAGCGACCAATCGAAACATGATCTATTTTCTACCCACGTGACTTTACCGAAAGAACCAAAGAGTGTGGATTCCTGCAGTCACGAAAGCCGCAAATGAAGATTGCTAAATCACTTTGGCTTTGTTGTTGACGTCAAATTATTCATTTATCCGTTGCTAATTTGCCATGTGCCGTGGATTTTCCTGCCAATTCAGAGATTGCAATTCTCTCTTCAAAACGCACGAGGGCACCAAACTAAATCGTTTCGCGTGGGATCTCAACAGGGATGCGCACCGCGTGTCATTCAATGCGCAGTGACCAAATCACCGCAAAGTAAATGTCGCCGCTGGTTAGCGCAACACCTCTTTGCCGTGTAGCCTGTATCGTCATCCACTTCGTTAAAGCGGTGTGTTCTCTGCTCAAGTGATCTGTCGGATGGTGCTGCTCTGCATTGTGGGGGTGATGGCGCAGTGGTTTGCCGACTGCACCCCGATCCACGGTGGCGAGATGTTAACTGCCTCGCTTGGCATACAGGAGGTCGCGAGTTCGATTCCGACCCTGACGTCTGCTGAATATTTGGAGTTTGCGGTGTCTCCACGCGCGGTCGCGTTGGATTTTTCTCCGGGCCCTCCGGGTTATCCATCCACATTGGGAAACATGCGTTTAGATTATTTGGCTGCTATAAATTTCCACGTGATAAACCACTTCGTTGAGCTATCATTTATGGCCAGGTCTCTTCAGAAAACGAGCTATATAGCTCACTGGGCCTTACCTGGTAAAAAAATAATTATAGTTTAGTTTTATAAATTTCACAGTCCCGTGTCTGTATCCATTATATCCCGCTTCCGGCTTATTAGAGAAGCCGTTGCGATTATTATTTCCTTTTGAATAATTTATGAACAGTAAGATGTGCATCAAGTGGTATCAGGGATACATTTAGCTGGTTTCTAGGTGCTGCGTAGATTTTTTTCTATCGCTAAAGATCGTAACGGATTGGGGAAGCCTTCATCCAGCAGTAGATTTTCCTTGGCTGATGGTGTCGGAAATTGCAATCTTGCCATTGAAAATAGTTGAATTTCCCCCCACACCCCCCTCTAATAAGACTAAAGCGCACAGTGTCTTTAAGGACGCCGTGGCATCAGCCACAGGGGTGACCTTTTGTGTGTCCTGCACGGCAGCGGTGAGCCGGCACGGCTGGGATCTTGGGTTCTCCGCGTCTAGGATTCGCGTCCGACTCAACCGGCTTCTTTTGTCATGATGGGCCAGCCCCGGGTCACCAGTGACAGCAAAACAAATGCCAAGTTATACAGTTTCACTAAAACGCCACCATTTAAAGTTCGTCCGGTCTAGTGGATGCACTGAGCGACGCACACGTACACCGTTGAAGAGATAGTCGTCTCATCAAAAAAAAAATCATCAGCGCTGATTGAAAGCCTCCCCTAAGCTATCACCATTTCTCACGGTCCTGTGATGTAATAATCTACCCAGCACCTGGTCGCCTCGTGCAGTGCTCCTGAACCTCTCCCCCCCCCCCCCCAATTCAACGGATGTCACCCTTTCGAGCCGGCTCGATCTACGCGGCACACTCCCGATGAGAACGATTGGCTCGTACGGTGCGAAAGAAGTTCCACGTACAATTACATCGTTTGCCCAACTGCGCATGCGCGACCGAGGCATATCGGTGGGGGCGGGGGGGGCTCCTGCCGTACTGCGCCGCGATCAATGGAACGTAGTGGGCAGTGAGATGGGGTGGGGGGGTGAGATGGAGGGGTGGGTGGGTGGGCGGTGAGATGGGTGGGTGGGGGGGGCAGTGAGATGGAGGGGTGGGTGGGGGGCGGTGAGATGGAGGGGTGGTGGGGGTGGTGAGAAGGAGGGGTGGGTGGGTGGGTGGGGGGACGGTGAGATGGAGGGGTGGGTGGGGGGAGCGCTGGATCGGCCACAGAACGGCACGGGGAGTTCGTCTTTCCAAGCTTGAGAGGCGTGAGGCCTGGTCTCCTGTAATTCCGAACATCGTGCGGCACACCTGTTGGGACCGCGCCGCGACACGCTGGCTGCTCGGCACTGGTCGAGTGCTCCGTGCGAAAGGAGCTCAAGTCGTCTCGCAAGAAGATGTCTGTGACAAAGAGATGAACGTCGTTGGCTCGTTCCATCGCTGCTCTCTGGACACCCAGACATCACTCGCAGGGTTTTGCGATGGCGTGGGCGGGCAGCATCGGTCGTGAACGTGTCTTGATCTCAATGTGACCGTGGAACGTGGTGGTTTTGTCTTCATAGCGGACGGCGCATCAACCCGCGCACCGACACTGGGGGTGCAGTTTAATTGGTGAAATCTAAACCAAAGCACGCGCGACGGCAGCATCGGTCTAATAATAGCCGTCCGTGGGTCTCCCTTTGCGCTTGTCGCAAATTAAAAAGCTGCGGAGGGGCGCAGGCTTTAATAATTATATCAAAGTGCCAAGGGGTGGGCTTAATATCAAATTAAACGTACACGCGTGGGGAAACGAGAAAAGTGATCAATGGAGGGACGAAGCAATGACCTCGTTTGCAAGGCGTCTCGTGCTGGATTAAGACACGGGGCATTTATTTCCAAATTAAAACTAGGAAGAAAACTCGTGCAGGCGCGTGCATTTTCTAACGATTTTTCCAACCTGCGTCTTGTCATCGGAAGTAGTTTATTTGGCAACAACCCCGTTTATTTTTCCGAACTGCACAACGGCCACATTGACCAAACGTCATGTCCACTATCGTGCCGCTACGCTCGTGCTAAAAGGGCATTCACGTGGGGGGCAACACATCACGAGAGTTCTCGCGACTTCACGCTGCAGACGGACGGAAAGAGTGCTCAGCCCGATTCGGAAAGCGTCGACAAGAGGCGCGCATCGCTGCGATACCGTCAGCAGTCCGCGCGCGTGAACACACGCACGGACCCGGGGAATCGCTTCCAGCGCTACAGCTGTCATCTGTGCGCGCGCGCGCGCGCTATATATATAAAAGTACAACTGTGTTGTGTATGTGCGCATGGGTCTGCGAAATAATCATTCGAGTGACTCGTAATCCCCTAATTGCACGCGATCCCCATCCTTTCCCCAGCCAGCATCCTGGACAGACGCACGCGCGCCCGTGTAAGGACCGACAAATTGGCTCTCGCCGCCGCTGTGACTCCTCCGTTCACGCGATGACGAATTCATAAGGGGGGGGGGGGGTGGGGTGGGGGGCCGTGTGTCGATGGGTCGCGTGGTGGCAGGCGGGGATGCGCCGCTGCCGATCCCCGCCGTGTGATGTGTGGCAGCGTGAGTCACGGTGGCCGTGGCC